GAGCTGCACTCCTGAACAGTCCATTCTCCACCTGAGTTTACTGCCATCAGCTAGTTTGGTGTTTCCCAGAGACCTCACTGATGAGAAGGTGGTATAGGAAAACCCCATTTGGATTTGCAAGGCCTTGAAGTTGAAATACTTCTGGAACCAAAGCAGTTTTAGGAAGTCAGAGCTGCATTTGAGCACTGTTACCAAAGTCTGCATTGAACTCTCTGTTACCAAAGGCATCTCTGGTATTTCTTCATAGGTACAGATCCTGAAACCTGAGTTATCTGACTATAGATAAGCAGAAGATAGTACTTTTGAAATTTTTTTCGTAATTTAGTTCACATTGCTCCATACCGGTACATTTTTCTCATTGTATAAGTACTAGGGAATGTATTCTGCCCTGGTGAGCTTTGTCTAAATTATTTGGATGAGACCAGAGTTGCTCATAATTCTTGTTTGTTTCTTCCCTTCCTGTTAGTAATAAAAATGAAATGTTCACCTCATGATAGAAATAGCTGTCTTAGTTCATGAAATGAGTGCATTAATACAACATTTTTGAAGTGTTTCCTAGCATCATCTTTTATGCCCTGCTTTTTAAGGGAACTTTTATGGAAGCTTTTCTTTAATTGCTTTTCTTTGAGTATTTCTTAATGCACTTTGGCAAATTTTGCAGAACAAAATATGTTCCTGTGTGATTGGCATAATGTCAGGAGACCACTGCCAGAGCTGGCTGTGTAGAGCTTCCTGAGCCTGGTTCTATGGCCTGTTGTCACATGGCAAGTGGGTGTCATGGAATACTGTAGCACCTGGCATCTGGCACTCTGGTGTGTCCTGCTCCTCAGGAATGGTCAGAAAGGAGAAGCAAGAGAACATCTCTGTTGTATTATCTCTTGTTTTGCCAATTAGAAATGTCAGACAAGGCTTAGGAGGCAGTTTGAGGACTTGAGATAACAGAAACTCTGGTGCAATATTTGTCTTGTTCTCCTTGAAAAGAAGCCCAGAAAGGAGTCAAAGGAACTTTTGTATCTTAAATAAAGTTTATGCTCTTCAAGTGAGTTCTTTAAATTTCAGTAGGCTATATAAATTCTCTCTTTAATCCACAAACATCACTTCTATGATATTAGGCATTCTGCCTTTAAAGGCTTTCTAAAGTGTTAAATAAGTAAATAAACTGACAATGAAAGTCAAAGATCTGTATTTCCTGAACTGATTGGACAGAGTTCTTCTTAATATGGTAGGATTCCACAAGTCGAGCTTGAAAAGCTGGTTTGTCTTTTTGTAAAAACTCAAGTAGATTTGTAGTACAGATTGTAAAACCACTGTGGAAGTTGGAAGTATGTTTCCGAAACTTAAATTGTTTCAAAGACTCATCTCCCCACTGTCACATGTGGTGTTTGTCACCACCCCACAAACCACTTCTGTCACGCAATGAATAAGCAGAATTAAAATTGAGCTTTTCTAATGACTGGAACTAAAGGCCTTGTGAATGTAGCTCTTCAAGTGTATATTTCTGGCTCATCATGCTGGTCTTTGACCATTTTGTTTGTTCTTGAAAGAGCATGCCAGTGAGGATTTCCGTGGTGCCAGGGCAGCAGTCCCGCTGAGCAGGCGAGCGTCACGGAAGCGCAGTGTTATCTGCAGAGGCACCAGGCTGGACCTGCCATGTCCCTGCTCTTGGTGCCCAAGTATCTTCAGGGAAGCATTTTGGCAGTTGACTGACTTAACCCAAATGAGTGCTGCCTTGTACTCCAGACAGTTGTTTATCAAGAATTAGCTTGAAACCGGGCTGAGATGGATCTTGCTGCCTGTCTTGTCAGCTTAGTGTAGTCTGAACAGAATTCTTTCTCTTCTGCCCTGTCATTACCCCCGTTCTGCTATTGAGTACATTCTCCTCCTCTTGGTCACTCTGGGCTGTAACCTAGGAAGCACTGGATCCTTTGCATCCCACAGCAGGCTGTCAGCACACACTGCAATAGCCTTTTGCAGGAATTTTCTATTGCGTGTAGGGCAGAACCCTCTGCTGAGTCTGGCACTTTTCCATTCCTGTGGTACTCTGTTCAAAGCCTAGTTTTAAAAATTCTTTCCTTACTCCTTAGTCAATTCTTCCTCTTCCAAAGCATGAAATAGCTATTATTCTATGTATACTACTATAAATTGTAAAGAATGTTCCTTACTTGTTTTGATTGATCTCAGTTCTGTACTTAGGTATCTTCTATTACCCATGTCACAGAGCAGCTGGCAAACATGCATTAAAAGTGTGGATCCTGAAGTATTTTAGGAACAGATGTGTGCTAAAATCAACCTGTATTTCATTTCCAGGCTTTGCCTTGGAGCTAGGCTGAGCTAATCCTACTTTCTTGTCTGTTTAGCAAGCTGCAGAGCAGGGGAGATTGAATCATGCAGGGAAGAAGGCTATGTTGGATTCTCATAGCATTGTTTTCTAGAAAATGAAAGTTAGTACTAATCACTTGAGCCTTTTTGGCTTACAGTTTGTCCAAATTGTGTTGGTGAAGGTGCATGCCTTTTTTCTTGCGTGCTTTTAAAATGGGCTTACACAAAAAGGATCATCTTCCTGCATTTTGGTACCTAACCTGAATTCCTTGAGTGTGCTCTTTCTCATGTAAAATAACTTCTGCTTCTAGTCATGGTTTGTAGAGATAGTTTTTCTCTAAACTTCTTTCAAGCAGAATCATGACATTTGCCCTGTGATAATCAGTAAGATGGAGAGAAAACCCTTTAAGTCTCACAACTATGTTGGAACAATACACAAAGTCTTTAATGACTGTGCTTGGAAAGCATCATTGTTGGTCTTTGCTTTTTCTTCCCCTCTTAATTGGAGATTCATAGCCTATTTCAAGGTGTTTCTCAGCCTTGCAGTTCATAGCTGGTTTAGCCAAATTATGTGCATTCATTTGGCTTTTTCTAGACTCCTGGGTGTGTCAGTCTTAGCACAAGTGATATTTTTTACTTAGGAAAGGTCAGAGTTATGTAGGACAATGTGTCCTACGTGCAGTGGTGTTCTTTGTGTGTGCTGTGTGACAAACCAGGTTTCTCTGCCTGCTGTGTGTTCAGGTTATACTGTGAATTTGTTTTTAGTGTTGCAAAGATGAGCATAGTCTACCATGAGGGCTTCAGAAACTGTTTGTGTCTTTGTAGGAATTGAATCTTCCTGTGCCTCACTCTCACAATCCTTTCAGGTTAAATGTTTAGCAGCTTGATCACTGTGTGGTCAGACACTACCACACCTCCAGATATTTATTGTTTTTCTTTATTGATTAACAATGCAGATTTCTCAAGAAAATTCATTTTAAGAATCAAAGAATAGTTGCAGGCCAGTTCTGCTGCTCTTTTTAGTGAGTGATTTAGTTCAGTGTTTGAATCTCTGATGAAGTCATTGCAGAAGAGAAAAAAATTGAAAAAAGTGCTGCTTCCCGATTTGCCTTTTTTTTAACTTTCCCATTTGTTTTTGCTCTGCAAATGTCACTTTTCTGGTTTATTAGATGTGTATTATCCAGTTAAATTAATGACAAGTTTTATCAATGTTTGCATAGGTAATTTGATAATTTTTTTGTTATATCCATATAAATTTCATAAAAATGTTTTTCTCTATGTAAGAGAGATGCTAAGTTTTATGTGATTTTATTCTTGAGGTTGATGGTGGGGCTAGGACAATTTTGGACCTAATTTGCATAATTAGTCATCTCAATTGCTAATAAATTAGGAGGAATTATTGAAGGGCTTGAGTTGCCAAAACATTCTTTTAATTAAAGTGTGAGGTGAGTGTCCCAAGTGTTTTCTTATTGAATTCTTCTAGAGCTACTAAAACTGGCTTTCCAGGCAGATCATCTTTGTTATGATGCCTTTCTGCTTGTAGGTTGTTGCGTAGTCAGTGACAGACCAGATTTACATTTTTAACTGGCAAAAAACCTCTCCCATTGTCCCCCTTCCCCAAAAGAACACAAATAATGAATGTTTTGAGTCTTCAGGTGTACAATGATGGATTGAATGTAGCGGGAGGGGAACATGAAGAATGTCTGTCCTTCTGCCTGGGCAGTACACCCCTCCACTGGGGTGCTAAAGTTGTTTGGAGCCACTTTCAGTCTTCCTCTTGGTAGTCTTCTGCAGCACCATCGTGTCAGTGTTGGTAGAATGGCTGGGTTTGCAACCACCAGAGTGAAATTTCTTAGTTCTTTGATGTTCTTTTTAAATCTGGATGTCTACACTGTTTAAAATAACAAGGACTACTGGCTTCTCTTGTATTTATTTTTTTCAATGATAAATTTACTCCTCAGTTTTAAGGTTGCAAAGGCTGAACTTGCTTGGAATGATAAAAGCTGTATTGCTCTTTTTATTTCCTAGGTTACTGCAAGGCAGGGGCTGGTTTTTATTATTGGAGATCTTGACTCTCTCACATTTCTAGGATTTGAACTAGATGAAAGGGGAAAAATGACATACTGCTGTGAATACAGGAGACCTCCTGTCACTCATCTTAATTGTGAATAGCTTGTGTCTGAGAGACAGGGACCTTCTTTCTGTGAGCTTGAAACCCAACAGGAGTTGGGCGTTGGGAGCTGGCCCTGGTTAAATGTAAGATTTTGGTTTCTGTTCAGTTGTCAGTGCTGGAAGCTTGGTGCCTCAGAGCCAAGTACCAGCTGTTCCTGAGCCAGCCCATGGTGTACTCTTCCTCCAGGTACCCTGAGATGTTTCTGTTGCTCACAGGTATTCTCAGTGCAGTTGTTACTCAACAGGGCAATGCATTGTCCAAGTAAAATGTGGCCATAGTTCATGCTGGTGCTGTACTGGCTTTTCCAAAATTCCATGTCTCATGCATAGAGCTGGCATCAGCTTGGGTATAAACTGTTAATGTGCTAAAAGCACTGGATAACTAGGTGTTTAAACTTCATCATAGTGAATATCATAAAAGATTTTTTTTTCCAAGTGATGATCTTCATCAATGAAACTAATCCTTTGTGATGTTTATCTTGAAATTTAACATAAATCTTTTATTCCAGAGGTTAAGAAGATTATCAACAAAATACAGAACAGAGAAGATCTACCCAACAGCCACTGGAGAAAAAGAAGAAAATGTTAAAAAGAATAGATACAAGGATATATTGCCATGTAAGTCTGATTTACTTGTTAATAGAAGACAAAGGAAACAGCTTGTTATTCTCCATGTATTCTGAATTCTACTTTTTAGTTATTACTGAAAGGCAAAATTGGACATAATTTGCTGAAAGATGTTTTTTTTCTTTTAACTTGCAAGGCAAAGTGACTGAATATTGTTATCAGGAGAGGTATCACCCAAAGATAAAGATGTTCTGGTTCTGAAGTTGTATCGAGCCAACACTTTCATTTTAGCTCAGAGTAGCTGATAACTTTACTAGATGCTTAAATGTATATTTTCCTTAGGAGCATGTTATTAATAGTAGAAAACAAACAAATGTCAGCATATACTTAGGTGAAATTCTAAGGAGGCTTAAGGAACCTGTTTTGATGTGGAATAGATATTTTTTGCCTGTTTGTATCCTACAAATGGTGTTGAAAAACTTTCAGTGCTGGATTAGCTTTGGTTGCTATTTTGCTAGAGTCCAGGTGAAATTCTTTTTACTCTGTGGATACAGAAAGCAAGAGTCAGAGCACAATTTAGATTTTAAACCCACCACCATGTGGATATTACAGATCAGTGATCTGAAATTACAAGACTGTTACATGCTCACTTTGTGTAGCTCCTGAGGCACAGCTCACTGTACTTTTGGATCTGAGCAGCTGACAGTGAGATTGAAGGGCAGTCTTCTGATAAATGCCACTTCTCTTGTTCCAGAAGGTCAGCAACAGGTACATTTTACTCTGCTTATTAGCTGGGAGGAAATGTTTAACAGCTTCAGTGAAAAAGAGAGAGGAAGTTGTTATTGTCATCTTATTAACAGTGTCCTGGCATTTTGGTAGATTGTGAACAATATAGTGAAATCTTGGTAGCAGCCAGGCTGAACTGGTGAGACAGGGACACTGCAGCAGTGCCTGGCTGCAGCTACAGCAGAAGATGAGCACATCTGTCATCTGCACAGAAATAAAACCTGAGCCACTGGGATCTGAGAGGGAACAAAGCTCACAGTGGGGAAATGAGCGAACTTCAAAGCTGACATTGAGGAAAACTGAAGATATATTTTCAGTTTAAATGAATGTTTCAAACATTCAGTCTCCAGCAATGAAATGATGGGAGACCAGCTTGAAATGAGAAGCAGGAGAAAGGCAAAGTTTCCATGTCTATCTCTTGTAAATCCAGGAAATAATGTACATTTGTAACTTAATCAGAGATTAGTGCTGTATTTATCAGAAATTGTTACCAGAGAGATCAGTACCTCAGCACTAACTGGACACTGGCTTCAGAGCAAGATGCATGTTCCCATTAGAGTTTACTAAGCCATCCTAAATGGTAGTTAAATGCAACATGGTATTCACTGGGCACCTGAAGAACCAATTAGTTATTGTGAACTGAGCCTTTATAACAGTATCCAAGCACTTAATCTTCAGAAGCTGAGAGCTGCAGTGAATTTTTTTGGGGGAATTCTGTTTCAGACCTTAAGCTCTGTAGCAGATGAACTGTGGCCCAGGATGGCAAAGTTGACATTTGGAAACTGCTCTAGAATTTTGGATCTAATGTGCTGAGAGGATAGGATCTCTCATTAGCCTGCTTCTTTAATTAGTCTGTTCTGCCACTTAAAAGCAGTTTTTAGTATAAAGTCCATGACACCATTTCATGCTTAGAGAATGTTCTTGCTTTTACAGTCTATGTATCAGAGTGTAAGAGTGCAATATGTTTTAAGGGTTTTTCTAGGCCTTTATACAAGCATGTTGTCTTTAGATTTGTGATCTAAAAGTCTCCTAACTTACACTTGTGCTTTTTTAAGAAGCATTACATGGTAACACCAATTTTTTTGCATGTTATGAGGACTCTAGCAGAAAAAGTCACCATTTTGCAGGCTTTTTGGGAGAGCTTTCTGTATAGAAGTAACTCTTAGCATTTACTTCTTCTAGGCATGGTTCCTTGTTTTATTATCAGTGATGTTTTTACAAGACAAAAAATCCAACTAAACCATATTTTCTTTTGAAATACATTTGTTCTTTGTCTTTTTCTTGAATTTAGGTCTAATCAAAGGTTTAGCAGCTGTTCTGTGGTTGAGGAATTGACCCTGGGAGCAGAAAGTAACAAATTGTTTGAGCAGCTGCTGTTTTTACAGATACTTCTGTTGCCCCATTTAAAGATAATTTCCTTTTTGATATGGATTTTCAACTAAAAGAACCTCTAGTATAGCGATAGTCTGAACAATTTTTATATGATAGCTGATAAGTCTTGTTATCAACAAGAGCTGGAAGGGCTGGCAAACCTGCCAACCACCTACACCATTTTAGTAACAATCAAGTTGTTGTATTAAATATGCAATTTTTTAACGCAAAAAACAATAACAAAATGTTTAGTTTATTCTGTCAACAAATAATAAGGCTATTTTTACATTGCTGAGGATTTTGATCTCCAAAAATGGTTTTATCAGAAGCTTTCTCTGAGACAGTCAGTAATGTTTGAGGCAGACCAAATCCTCCTAAATGAAGGAACCTGCTGCTTTCTGGTGCAGCAGTGCTCCAGCCAAGAGCCTAGTCCAGTATTTGGGGGATAGGGGTCAGTCTGTGCCTGAGCAGTAAACCCTGGAGCCTGTTTCCTGTTGTGGTACCTGATGGAATCTCCTTGGCAGACACTCTGAGAGCTGCCAGCTGCTTTAACTGTGCACTGGGTTTTTTTGTGCTTTCTGCTTTCCCTAAGTGTGTCTTAATTCTGACCACTGTGATCTGTGTTAATGCTGTGTAACTGCAGGTTTGATGGCTGCTGATTAATTGTCTTGCCTCTTAGTAATGAATTTCTCTTGGAATTGCAGGAGGTGATACCCTGTGAACTTGAGCAGCAGGAGCTACTCTGCTTGTCACTCACTACCTGAGTTGGTTTACCCATAAATCAAATATATTGACTTGCTTGTGTGACTTACCTTTGGAATGTGTTCTTTAATGTACTATATATAATATATTTACTGTTCTATATTGATTTCCATGTGTTGTAATCCTTGTTCAAAAAAATATTTTGGTCTGTTTTTTTTCAGTTGATCACAGCAGAGTTAAACTGACCCTAAAAACTCCCCCACAAGATTCAGATTACATCAATGCAAACTTTATAAAGGTATGTGCTGGTAGTTTAACTGTTCTTCTATTCTTTCTAGGTTTTTTCCTTGTCAGTGCAGTTTTAATATTATAGTCTAACATAAGACTTTAAAGCTGTAAGGGAAGATATTCTTTTGTTATGACTTGAATAAATTTGAAAACATAATGCCATTTATAACACAATCTTCAAAGCTTTGATTTTACTCCTAAGTGGAAATACAATGTAAAATACTTAATTTTAAATTAGCAGGCAAGTGCATTTATACCATAGGAAAATTCAGATGCAGTTGTTTTAACAGGTGACATTTTTAGGGATCATAAATGAGGTGTTTGACAAATTGTGTATGTTAATGTGCATGTCACTCCATTCATGGAAGAAGTGTAGCAATGGAATTAATACTCTAACATTCTTAATTCCATTGCCATTGTTAGATTAACCTAACATTCTTAAAGAGAAGCCAGAATTTGACTAAAAGCCTGTTACAGTTTTGTTTCAAAGTATTAATATCTTGAGCTGTCTTTGTATCTTTATTCTGATGCTGCTTCTACACAATATTGATTTTTCAGCAACAGGTAAAATCAAAATCTTCCTGTAGTAAATCTTCTGGCATGAATATTTAGCTTGAAAAGCTGAACATGAATGTACTGAAAATTAATATAAAACAAATTCTAGAATTTTATATTTTTGAAATTTATTACAGGGAGGGAGGAACTTAAATTTGTTCAAGAGGATGCTTTTTTACAGAAGGATTTTCAATTTTTCATCACTGAATGTTTGAATAACAAAAAAAAAATACAGACTTAAAGGGAATCTTCAGAATCTGAACACATTTATTTCCTGTGACAGTCTCTGGCAGTGCTGTAGCTGTTGTGAACTTGGGCTCCCTTGAGATTACCAGCTAAATTCCCACTAATGTAATTAGGAGTCACGTTTCATATTCACCCTTCCTGTTATTTATACATATATATATATATATATATATATAAAGGATATTCTAATTTTATGCCATTGTAACCCCAAACCTTTTTTAATTCAGTGCAGATAAATGTTCTTTATAAACATTAATGGTTCCTTTCTGCAATCCCAGGGAGTACATGGGCCAAAAGCATATGTTGCTACCCAGGGTCCCTTAGCCAATACAGTCATAGACTTCTGGAGGATGATATGGGAATACAACGTTGCTGTAAGTAGCTACAGAAAAATTCAGTGTAACCGTATTTCATGGTACTGTGATTGTCTATTTTTTGTTTAAGCTGGCTATTATTATCAAAATATTGACAGTGATTTAGGTTGTTTGCTTCCCAAATGTTGCCTTTTGTATTTAAATAGCATTAATATTATTTATTCAGTTTAATAACGTAAATTTAAAGTAATAATTTTGTTGAATGAATGTTAAGTCCTTCATATTTATGAATAGGTTCTTGCTTGCTTTATCTGTAAGGTAAGAGACCTTACAATTGTGACTTAATGCAGACTGACAAAATCATATACATAACCAGCATGTGAAACAAACAAAACAAACAAACAAAAAAAAAACCAAAAAAACAAAAAAAACCCCTCAAACCACTTAGCTTTCTTTTTTATGCTAATTACATAACCAGCATGTGAAACAAACAAAACAAACAAACAAAAAACCCCAAAAAAACCCCTCAAACCACTTACCTTTCTTTTTTATGCTAATATTGGTTAGTTATTGCTTTATATATTCTACATGTGTTTAAACGCTTTTGTCAGGAATTAACTTTTAAATTCTTGTGGAAATTGGATAGGTTTCACAATTTACTTCTGAAATTTTTTTTTGGGGGGGTAGTTGTTTGACACGTATGTCATTGTTACTTACTGTAACAAATAGCTGATCTGTTGGTGCATTTTTATTGTGCTACTCATGCTTTCTGAAATAGCTTCACCTAAGAAATTTGATTGATGGTCGAGGTTTTTGGGGGGATTTGTTCATATTTTATGCATTCTATGTCTATTTATGCAAATATAGCTATGTTTCTTCCAGCTGGCAAAGGGTTCTATATTTTTATAAGTTTAGACTTTACAGTCAGACTGAATAAATAAGGTATTTGTACAGGATTACAGTGAGTTTGAATTAAGTAGCCTTGAAGTGTTGTATTAGTGATGTAGATTTTGTGAAGGATGAAACTTGGTTGCTGTTTTAGAATTACAGGAGCATGTGTATGCAGGACAATATTATCAATAATTAGTCTCTTCCATAGTAACCAGAAGTGTATCATCTCCCTGACAGAAGCAAGTGTTGAAGTGTAGGTTTAAGTTGCATGATCCAAAATCATTTAACTTGGAGCATCTTTTTTTTTTTTTTTTTCTTCCAGATAATTGTAATGGCCTGTCGAGAATTTGAAATGGGAAGGGTATGTGTCCTAAATACAAAAATAAATGAGCTTTGCCCATATGGGGCAGTAGCTGTGAAACTTCATATGCCAAATGCGTAACTGTGATAATAATACCAGATGAAATGAGAATGCTTATTCCTACATTTCTGTACATAGGAAATAGTCCATGAGACTGCATTTCTTTGCCTCATTTTTAGGGTTACATGATTATTTAGTGGATTATCTCAGTGGATATGTGTTCATGTACAGAACCCTGTACCAAGGGTTTGTTTCTGTCTGTGTCACTGTGGAAAAAGTGTCTTGCTCTTTGTGGGATGAAGGCCAACTATGAAAATCCCAAGTCCTTCAGAATTTCCTGTCAATTCATACAGCTGCAAAAACAATTTTTTTTAAAAAATCTCTCTTCTTTATTCTTATGACCTTAGAAGGAAATGCAGAATTGTGAATTCCCAACTTTGACAAAACCTAAGCTTTCGTTGCTCCCCTCTGCATGATGCTTATGCATGTGGTACAGGCAGACATGAAGTGTGCATCCTAATTTGCAAAGTGTCTTTTACCTGTATTTATGTTGGTTGTTTGAGGTCTTGGTTTTGTTTTTCTCTTGTTATCCAAAAGGAACATTATTTTATTATTTTAAAAGAAGTCCAGAATAAGGCATTCAGGGCTGTGATTTTGTCTGCTCTGCTTCTGTTGATCATCTTTCAGTACCATGCATTAATTAAATTAGGATTCTTTACTTTAACAGAAAAAATGTGAGCGTTACTGGCCTCTGTATGGAGAAGCAGCTGTAACTTTTGGACCATTTCGTGTTTCTTGTGTAAGTATAAAGCTTTATCAATTAGTTTTCAAGTATTGAGTGGGTTCGTAACTTAAATGTTCAATTAAATGTATATAGTGGGCTTTTTAGTTGTTCAGTACTAAATTTTACACAAGGACTCTCAAAGGAACATGCACATCTAAGCTGTGTGATTTTTTGAATCCTCCATGATTGTTTCATTTTTTTAAAGAAGGGAACCTGTGTCCCTTGCTCTTGTATGTTTTTATGTATTATTTCTGGAGCTTTATATGCTGCTTGAATGTCTGTGCTGTACTCAAAAAATCCAAGTCTTGTGCAGTTGTTTTGTCTGTTATGACTTGTGCCTTCTGAGTGAACTGAAAGTAACACTGGAATAGGTTATTTTTATTAAGTTAATTAGCATGATGTGTTTTAAGGTGTTCAGAAAGAGTTTGCATGCCTGTTTATTCAGCTATTAATACGATTTTGGGATAGTCTAACAAAAATTAAGTACACGCCAATTCATCTTGTCAGGAAAATGCATGCTTGTGAATTTTAGTCTATAAAGATTCTGAGTAACCTTTTCCTAGGGTAAGTTGATTTAAATTTGGCTGCTTTTTGCCCTGTTCCTTGTGATACTGGTGAAAGGGGTTTGTGTGTTTGTTGTAATTGACTTATCTACAGCAGAATCTCTTACCTTTGGGTGCTCTGGTGTGTGTGGGCTACATTGCTTTAAAAACTGAAGTGTAGCAATTGTTGATGGGAAATGGTAAATTCCCAGGAGGAGATAGCAACACAGTAAAGCCTATATTCAGTCTCCTGAATTCTCTGTGGGAAGCTGTAATGCAAAGTTTTTAAAGGCATCTTCAGATCTGGTGTTAATGGTATTGAAAGTACAATATTGTTTGATTTCTGCAGTATAAGCTTTCCTTGATATTCCAAAGGAAGATTTGAAAATTCTGTGAGCTAGAAGCTAGATTTTTTGGCCACAACCAAGATAATTAGTGATTCTTTTAGATGCATCCTTAATTGAAAACAATGGAAAAGGAAAAAATAAAAGGAGACGTCAAAGGATAGAGTGGTAAGAGGCTGAATTTTATACAGAGGGATGGCTGTGAAAGGCAGTCTGTAAATTAAAAGTATGGAGAAATAAAGCAAAAGAGGTACTTAGAAATATTCTTGTATGGCTTATTGATAAGAACAGACAGCTTATTGACTTTGGAACAGACAATTTCAAAACTCACACTTTTAAGCCATTTTGCACATTCTGTGCTGCAAGCTAACTGGCTGGTATGTTAATCAGTGTTTTGATTGCCCCTCTCTTGATGAAATCATAAATACAAAACCAATAAATTAAAAAAGACCCCTGAGTTTAAAGTTTGCAGTTTTACTTATGCCCTGTATGTTGCATATTGATTTTTAATATTTTTTCCAATGCTTTATTGTTTTCTCATGTTTAGGAAGCTGAGCAAGCAAGAACAGATTATTTCATTAGAACATTATTACTTGAATTTCAAAATGTAAGTACACAGTCACTTCTGGTCTCACCTTCAACGGTTGTTCAAAAGTCTCCAAAATGATACAATGTCAGAAACTCATGAAAATATCTTCACTTTTTTAGGTGCTGATTATGGATGTAAGTGATAAAGTTTGGAAGTGATGTTAAAGTCTTAGCATATAAAGGAAGAATAGTGAAACTCTTTGCCTTTTCTATGTTCTTGTTTACCCAAATGGCTTAAGCTTTTCTTATAAACTTACACTGAAATGTCAGATGTCAAATGTCAGACTTCATTTGACTGAAAGCAGCTACCAGTAAATAAAAACTGTAGAGTCCTCCTGTAAAAACACAAAACGTAATACTCTGTTTTACAGAATACCTGTCATTTAAATTGTCAATCAGCATTAATAAATGATTTATTACAGGTTAGTCTCATTTGTAGCCACTGTTTTCTTTATCAAAGCTTTGTTCCATTTCAACAACAGATACTGCAGCAGTTATGAAAACTGCTTAATCATGAGGGGAGTGATTTTGGGGAATAATTTTCTGCAGTATTTGCTAGGAATACATGAACTTAATCCGTTTGTTTCTGTTAGTGCTCATAACTGACTGGGCTGTGGGACAGTTTAGATAACAGAAATTCTGTGTAGTAATTGGGGTTTGTGACATTGTTTGAAGTGTTGCACTTCAAAACAGAACTGGATACCAAAACCCCCAAAGCAGAACCTGCCTTCCTTTTAATACCCAAAAATTGCATGAACCAGTTCCACCAGAGACTGTAGCTGATGTAGATTTTGCTTGCCTACACTATACATGCAAACCATGTTTGGCTATTGACTCTGGGGAATTCTGTCCCAGTTGGGAGCCTGTGTACTGCTTAAAAACTGAGCAGCAACAAGAAGTTACAGTTTGTGCTGAGCTTTTGATCTTAGCAAGGAAACAGATGTTTGTTCCAACGAGGAGCAATTTCACTGAAAGGGTTAACAAGATGTGTTGATATTTGAAATGTGCATCTGATAAAGTGGTTTTTCTTCAGATTTATGTAGCAGATTTGCTTGAGGATTCCTGTAAAATTAACTGCAGATTTTTCATCTTTCTTTGAAGAATTCTAAGCATAGCCTTGCACTGGGGAGGAAAAGTGTATTTGTGGTAAAAAGTAATATCCTTTTAAGTTTGCTTTCAGGTTTTCCAGAATAATTATGTTTTGTCACTTTTGTAGCATTTGCAGTGGATTATCATACAAAAAGAAACTATGCAAAAGGATTTAAAATTTCCATAAATCTATAAAGTTTTTTTAGTTTCTAGAAGAAAAAACAGTTTGACTGAAACTTGATTATTTTCAAGAAAGAACTTTGGTTGTTTAGTTTATAAGTGGCAGTATAGAAAAAGGACTATAAAGGTTCTTTTAAATATTTGACTTTCATATAGAAAACAAATCCTTTTTTTTCCCTGACCATTCTGCTAATGTGAAAAATCACTAGTCTTTTTAGAAGTAATTAAGTGAAATTTATTGCTGGGGCTTAATAGATAGCTCTAACTCTTCCTTTTTATTGATGACCTTGGTTTTACATTATCATCTAGATTTTTCAATTTGTGTTTTCTCTTGTTTTAACTAGCTATGGTGTTTCCATAGAGCTGGGAAAAGTCAAGCATCAAAAGCAGATAAATTTCCATGCTCAAGAGGCCTGCTATGTTGCTCCTCACATACTGAAACAGAAGGTAGTGTAGGTCTTGAAGCCTGTAGACTGTAATGAGGATCACAGCCTTTGTGCTCTCCAGTACAGTACTTTGGGGGTATACTGGAACCCAGAGGTGTGACACCAGCATTAAAGGTGCAGTAGAACCAGCTGCTGGTTCTGCTGGTAGCTGCAGATGCTTTGGGTAGTGATGAAAGGGAGGATTTTCAGGGATTCAGGTAGCTGAGTAGCTAATCTGCTCTAAAGCCTGCTTCTCACCTTGTCTTTAGTACTATTGTAGCTCCTGCTACTAGAATGAAAGTGTACCTGTTGTTGTTGCAAGTGTGATCCATATTTAGATATGGTCTCCATTATTTCTATTGTTCTCTGTGCACACGTGCATACACTTTATTTTGTAGTGTGACAAAACAATGCCTTTGCCCCCATTTTTTTTCCTCAATGTAAGTTACTGAAGTACAAATAGAAGAAGAAAGATGAAAGATTTTCTCCATTTCCAGGTTACAGCTGTAAGGACATAGAACCTTTTCATATGGTGCAGGATTGTTGGTCCTTTATCCATATAATAGAGAGGGGCTTCTGAACTGTCCCATAGGGCATCTTCTTAGGCATTATCAGCACTTCAAATATGATTTCAGAATTTTTCTTCTATTTTTTGAAGCGGTAAAGGCTGTAGGATTTTTAATCCAGTATATAACTTTTCTTGTCAAAGCAAAGGTTCATGGAACTACTTCTTTGGTACAAACTCAAATATGTGTTATCATTAACAGCTTTCTCCCTGCTCTCCCTTAGGAGACTCGCAGTGTCTATCAATTTCATTATGTTAACTGGCCTGACCACGATGTCCCTTCATCTTTTGATTCTATTCTGGACATGATCAGCTTGATGAGAGAATACCAGGAACATGAAGATGTTCCTATTTGCATACACTGCAGGTATCAAATGTATTTATCTTTTAATTTTTAAATGTTTTCATTTTTTGAAGTCTAGACTTTTGTTATGGATTGCACTAGTTTTGGTTCTAAGTCAGAATTGAGTTATTTATTTTAGTTGAAAAAAAAATTATTGTGTCAAAATTTAATTCAAAGTCATACAGGCTTCATTTTCTTAAAACTGATGCCACAGTGAAATTTTGCTTTTACTTCAGTTTAAGACATAATATCAATCAGAAAAGAATGAGCCTTTGAAAAGGGACCTGTTTTGAGATTTAAGACATAAATCCTCATCAGGACAAAACAGACTTTGAAGATCACTGCAGATCATCTTGAGAGTAAAGGCTCCATTCTTAATAGGAGAGACTACACAGCATCATTAAGAACTCTGTGTTCTAATATGATAAAAAAGATCTTTAGTGAGCAGGCTGTAGTTTCCAGTTGGGAAGTCTTTACTTCTCAACACCAGTTTCATCCTTAACCTGAAATTTGGCTAACAGAAAAACTGTTAAGACTGAATTGCTATGAAAGTATTTTGCTATGTTGACACTTCAACAATTTATTTGGAAATCTTACCTATTGTTTTTAGCACTTTTTAAAGCAACAAAAGTTCACGTGTTATGTCAGGAAAAATTGAATTAAGATTTATAAGCCAGGACATGTTAAATTAATGGGATGTAAGCATTCTGGTTTTGAGTCATCACTCTTAAGTGAGATCTAAAAACATAAACCGACTTAGCACTGAAATCTATTCACTCTGTCCTGTTCTTTTTGAATGTCAATATAATTCTGAATGTTGATTCTTTACAACAGTGTAATTATAATGTAATAAATAGGCATTAATTATAATTCTGCATGTGTAAAACAGGAATTCATACAATTAGGAAAAATAAATAAGATAGTTTGCTGTCATTCTTAAACTTTCAGATTTATGTTTTTAGCTAAAAAGGAAAAAATATGGATGTGATACTAAATCAGAAAATTGTGGTGTGGCAAGTCTTTCAGTGTCTTCTGTTCTGCCATTTTACATCATTTAGCATTAAACTTGGAGAAGACCATACCTGATGAAGCAGTAGTATCTGGGAATAGTGTGACAAAAGGAAGAGGCAATAAAATTGTTAGCACTGAATCATCTTTCACAACTGCAGTTCCAATGGCTATGAAAACTTGCATTAAAATATTCAATGCTGCATTTTGCACTGCTGAGTTTACTTTTAAGACAATATAGTGTCAGGCTGAGTGAATTAAAATTATACTTGAGGGATTTGGATTTTTTTTTTTAATGTGGACTTTTGAAATATAAGGCTTATAGTGTTTTTTATCAAATTTAAATAATATCTAACACCTCTCTGTTTATGTTCATAGTGCAGGGTGTGGAAGAACAGGAGCCATCTGTGCCATAGATTATACGTGGAATTTGCTTAAAGCTGGGGTAAGGAATCCTAAAAGAAGTTTTATGACATTCTGTAATTTCATAAGTGATTGATTGAGCTTCCAAGTGTTCAAAAATAGTGAAATGTTTAAGACATTCTGGAGTTATACGTGGAATTTGCTTAAAGCTGGGGTAAGGAATCCTAAAAGAAGTTTTATGACATTCTGTAATTTCATAAGTGATTGAGCTTCCAAGTGTTCAAACATAGTGAAATGTTTAAGACATTCTGGAACCTTCTTGACAGGTTGGATGTTTAGTTTCATTGCACTCGTGCTTTAGTATGAACTTACTTTCCTTTGACAGCAAGTTTTTATCTAAAAAGATCACTATAAAATTCTAATTTTTAACAAATAGATTGCAATATAAATTGATTTTTGAATTCAACATTCTCAGTCTCTGATTTATCATGCAGCTCAAATATAAAGGGATAACTTCATTCTGGGATTTTTAGATTATGAAGCATTGTTAACATTGCAGTGTCATATTAATAATATTGGATATCTCATTTCAAAAGCGCTTGAAATGTTCTCATCTGGTCTAAATCAAATGTCAGTTTGGAGTTGCTTTGAAAAATAATTAAATAATTGCAGTGTGGAGAGGAACAGATTACTTTACCTATAAAAGTTACACTTATTTTTTGATGTTTAATAGCTTTTGTATTGTTGCTGTGATAGTTATGTCATTGTAATTAACTTGCTTCTGTATTTCAGAAAATACCTGAAGAATTCAATGTATTTAATTTAATACAGGAAATGAGGACGCAGAGGCATTCTGCAGTGCAAACTAAGGTATAGTTTGTTTTAAAATGAATGTGATAATACATCTTTGACAAGATCTTGTGCATTAATTTTTATCTGGTACCTTATAGGAGCAGTATGAACTTGTCCATCGAGCCATAGCACAACTGTTTGAAAAGCAACTGCAAAAATATGAAAGTTGTGCAGACTGGAAGATTGCAGATGGAGTGGTAGGTGTCTTTCCCATATGTAGCTGTTAGCTTCTGATGAAAATTCTCCTGTGAAGTTGTTTTTAGAGTGTTCAGTGGTGTGATCTTATTAAGTTTCTCATGTTTTTTGAAGTACTGCTTGCATTGAAATAGGTTAAGGGAGAGAAAAATAAGTTTAAAATGCTTTTGTCAAGGACCTTCATGCTCTACCCTTTTCACAAAGGAGAAGGAAGAGGAAAAAATATTCTTCATTGGCATTCATAGTATTTGAGGATTTTTCTGTCTTTCTATCCTTCCCCTTTAAGCTTCATGTCCCCTATAGTTTATTCTCTTTTTTATGTTCAGATATGTTTTCTTGGCTGTTGCTGGGCACTGTGTGAAAAATAGCCTTTTGGATTAATATCTTCTTTCTTTCTTCTTTCTTGCTTTCTTCTTTCTGTACCACCCTTTGTCCCTGCTTTGTGTTTTGTTTATTCAGTGATTTTCTGTCCCTAATTGGTGTAGATTCCATAGCTCTCTAGAGGGAGTACCAGTGGGATCTCCAGGACTCTTTGAAGCAGTTTTAAATGTGGTTTTATTAATAAGCATCCCATTTATTTTAGGGATTTAGCTGTCCTATATGTGCTTTCTAGGAAGTCTAGAATGTTTTCAATTCTTGGATTAAATGCATCCACGTGGTTTTATTAATAAGCATCCCATTTATTTTAGGGATTTATCTGTCCTATATGTGCTTTCTAGGAATGTTTTCAATTCCTGGATTAAATGCATCCAGCCTTCTGCTAACTCCTAAGAATTTATATCAGTTCCTGCAATAGTTACGAGGTACTTATGACTTTAAGTCATGACAAGAAGCCTGTTGACTAAATGCAGTGGATAGGGCTGGCTGCTTTGATTTGTTACAGGTTTGATTAAGCTGATGTGTGATTTTTTTTCCTGAGAAATTAGCATGGCAGGGTTTGGAATAGGCAGATTGATGAGCTTTGTGCAGAAGTGATTTCTAAGTTCTCGAGTTTGGATCATAAAATAATAGGTGATCAGTTTACTGTATCTTCTGGTTATTTGACTTAAATTAGACCTGTGTTTGTGCTCTTACATAGAATCAAAAATGGCTCTTATTTACTTATTCCTAATACTGTATATACTAAATGACTTACTATTCCAGAAGATGAGTAAAGCTGTGTCACAATATGGTGGTACTCTGTAACAAAAGCAAGTGCTGTCTTTAGCACAGCTTGAGAGATTTGCTGACTAATAAAACAAGACCAAATTTGCTAATAAAACAAGACCAAATAGAAATTGATAGGTAATGTATATGGGGATGAGAGAGGGATAAATCCCAGCTCTGAAAAGGCAGTGATGGAGTGAGTTTTGAGTTTTACTTGGATATGATGTCGGTTTATGATCAACAAGTTGTAAAGGAAATGGAATTTTAGCAGTTAATTGGAAACTGGTAAGAGCAGAGAATGTAATGTCCTTGTGTGGGTACCTTGCAGTTTGACTACTGACTGCATGTCAAGTCTGCTTATCTCAAAAACATGTTACAGAATTTGAACATTAAACAACTGGACAAGGATCAAAGGTGTTGGAAGGCTCAATTTAAAGAACAGCCAGACTGAGATGGAGAAAAAAATGGCTGAGGTTAAATACAACAGAGTATTTACTGAGTAACAACAGAAAGCTGATTGCTCTTAACTTTTTCTAAGGGATACCAGTAAGACCTGAAAGACTTAATAAAAAAGTGACATTTGTATAAAAATGCAACATGAAACTGCAGAGCTTCTTGCAGCTGAAAGCCTGCATCTTTGGGGTGAATATCTCACCATCTTGGAATCTTCTTCCATGAGTTTCACTGACCTCTGACCTATGAAATTCCAGAGTTGCAATCTGTTGGAAAACATTCTAGGGAAGGGTCCCAGTATGCCTGCTCTGATCTTATTCTTCCCTGGAAGTTCCCTTTTGGTCACTGCTGGAAGCAGGGCCAAGTAAATCTTTGTTTGACTAGGCATAGCCTTTTTTGTGTTGGGAAATGATGCTTCTTACTACTGTTACTTGAATAGTTCTGCAGAAAGGTTGAGGTGAAGAAAGTCTCATAGGTGAAGAATTTCTGTATCTAAAAGTTTGGTACTTAAATTTGCTACTGTCCATTTTTTTACTGAAAATTTGCTTTCAATGAATTAAATGGTATAGGCTTAGCTTCTCTTTAGGATTTATAAGGGAAACTTCACATATCCAGTTAAATATTTTCTGGTAGTTTTAACCTGATTCTCAGAACTTTGAAGCTCACTTGAGACTTCGTTATGATATTCTGACAAAGCTCCTTTTCACCTCCAGGAGTGTATGCATCATCTGTTGTATATAATGTCTGATTTTCCCCAGAAATTTTCTATTTTGCTTTCTTTTAAAAAAACCCAAGCATTCAGGAATTTATCCTGGTTAAGAAACGAATTCTGAGGCAGGAAGTTTTAAAGTAACTTTATTCAATACAATGTAGTATTCTAAGGCTCCTTCATGTATGTAACTGTGCCTGCAGATGCTACAGCAATATGAAGGCTTCAATATGTGAATGGTTTTAATTAAGTCTGGTGAAAATAATTCCAAATAAAATTCATGTGCCTACTTTGGATATAATACTATTAGTTAAGAAGGAGATGCTACTGGGCTGAAGAGGAAATGTGTCATTTATTCTATTTTGATAATACTGTGAAGAACTGGAGTGCTCTGTAGGGTTGGTTTCATGGTTTTGTTTTCCTCTTGCTGTTCTTTCAAGCAGTGTTTGAAATGGGTTGAGTTCCAGAGGCTCTGAGAGCAGGGCCTGCCAGTAACATCCCAGTAAAAGGTTAATCTGATTGGCACTGAGGGGCAGCATTCATGGGGAAGCAGCTCAGACACAATCCCAAACGTGTGTTCCTGGGAACTTGCCAGCTTTTCCCTGCTGGAAACAATACTGTAAAAAGTCAGCAGCAAGGCATGCAGGGTTTGAACAGAGAGTTAGGATAGGGTGAGAGTTTCCATTAGAATTTGATAGATCCCAAACCATGTCAAAAATACATGATGTGCTTTAATGTCTTACCATATAGTTATACCTATTCTGAATGTGTAGAGCTGCAAATGTTTAACATAACACTAAGTATTTAAATGAAATGAAAAAAGGAAAACTCTGCTCAGATACCAGTAATTTCAGCAGTACCCTGCAGCAGCCAGATTTCAGGGTGAAGAATTGCTGCTCAGGGGCCATGTTTTTGTGATAAGAAAAGAGTTCAGATGCTGAATTTGATAATCAGAACTATTCCCTTCCCCTACTTAGTAGTACTTTCAAGTTACCAAACAATTAAATTGGAACAGAGTCTTGGACTGAAGCCCTTCCCACTGAAGTTCTTGATCATATTGTCATGTATTTCATGTTGATAGCTGTGCTTCTCACCATCATTGGCTCTGTTAGTACTGCTGCAAAGTTATTACACTTGGTGTTGTGTTTGGAAGCTTTGAAATATATGTGAAATCATTAATCTTGGTCATCTGATAAGGTATCAGATTTGTATCAGTAAAATATTTTATTTGAGAAGGTTCTTCATGAGCTGTAGTGAACTATATAGTTGTGAATTGTAGCTGTCTTGGAAGGTCTGAATCATATGGAATTTCATCAAGCTGGATGTTCTGTTTGGAAGTCAAAAAAAGAAAATTGGTTAAAAGACAAACAAGCAAGCTCACTTTCAATTCAGAAATGTTTCTTGTTGAATTTTTTCTCTTGACAGTACCAAGCATGTTACAGTATTGCAAGTCCTTGCTTTGCCCTTATCCATGAGTAGAAGCTTGTGTTCATAAACACTTTCTCCATAATTTGGCAGTGCTGGTACTCTCAGTGTCTCTTGCATTTCGTGCTGTAAAAGCAGCAGAGTTCTGTTGCTGTGGTTGACTGCACTTGTGGAAGTCACAGAGGAATCAGCTGCTATAAGAAGAATGTTGTTATTTGAAGCATTAATGGTTTAGAAACTGTAAGTGAAGGGACTGTGCTGTTCATATTCTCTTTGCTGTTTGGCAGCTTGGAAGGATATTTTTTTGTCATTGCAACCTTCTAAAAAATCATGTATTTCTTCAGAGACATTGATCTCGTTGCCTCTGTTGGAATGTTTTATTTAATCTGAGTCACTTGAGTGTATCATTTCAATCTGAAGTATTTCTCTTTTTATCTACTGATGCTCAGTGATTCCCATGCTGCTTTATGAAAAGGGCAAAAGGAATGTCTCAATTCCTTTTAAGGGAAAACATGAGATTACTTCTGGAGGAGTCTTTGCAGTAAATTTCCCAGTATTTTACTAGTACAGAAAGCTTCTGAATGACATTAAATATTTCCACAGTGAGTTCCAAAAGAAAATTATACATTGCAATTCCTGGGGAAAAGGTTTTGATTTGTAGGCAGTGTGTGTGAAATCTCGGTCTGTGGTCCTCTGTTTGCTTGAAGGTGGTGACAGCACTGTTTGGTGATTGAGCCCGTGGTGGAAGCAGGTGGGGAAGGCCCCCTTGGGAGGTGATAGCTCAGTTTGGGTTACCTTAGCAAGCTGGGTTCAGGCACTGCATCCGCTCTGAGAATTCCTTGTTTCTTTGCATTACTACAGGAACACAAGTTACTCTGCATTTCAGTAGAGTATTTGAGTTTTGACGTTGTCATTTGTTAATGTAGTCTTTCATAGGTAGGTGTGCACTCATCTATATATCTGCAATTTAGCAGCATACCTAGAAATTCCTAACTATGAGCACTTTCACTTGATCTCAGTAGCTGCTCCCTCAGGGAGCAACTCCAAGGCAACTCTTGAACTGTTGAGCATTTGATGCATATAGACACAAAGGTTGGGAAGGATCCTGTTCTTCTCTTTACCCATGCTGCAGTGAGAAGACAGGGCAGTGAGACAGTAGGACAGTTGTCTTCTGTGAGAAAGCAGGGTGCTACACTGAACACTTAGTGAACTGCACATTTGTTAATCCATTTTTAAAACATTATTCTGTATGATAACCCCTGTGAGCTACGTATCTTGTCCTGGTTTGTCTAAGCTGATACTTGTAAAAATTGTGCTCTGCCTGAGAGCACAACATCTGTCTAGAGAAGCAAGGGAGTGTTGACTGATGTCGATAAGCTGTGCTTAGGAAGGCTGTGGAAGGCTTTTTCTTAATACCACCATCTGCTCCTCTCAACAGATGCAGCCATCCCAGTGAGATACCCTATATTCACTTTCAGAGCTCAGCTTCCTCGTTTCTGCTCCATGCTAGTTTTTCTGCATGTTTGCCTGCTCACTTAGTTTGATACATATGACAGGGAAATCTGTGAGTTGGTGTCACTTAAGGGTGAGAAATACTCAAAATACTGGTTATTCCCTATTTCTTGTAACACAGAACTGAGAACAAGTGACAGGGAATGACTTCTCTAAAAGTAACCAAAGCCTTCTCACAGAAACATCAATCCATCGATCTAATTAAATAAAGTAGCAAAGTACCTCTTTTTTGGTGGCAGTAATTTATGTAATCATTCTTGCTCCTCATTGAATATAACTAAAACAGTGAATGGATCTGAAGTTTAACCTGATGCACAAGTGAAACTTCTGGCACCTCTCTGTCTGAAGCCTTCCCTCTGTACAAAATCGGGGTAACCACTGGCTTTTCTGGTGTTAAGTTAAAAAGTACCATTTTGTGTGTGCAGATTTTCTTGTTGGGTTTTGTTTGTTTGGGGGTTTAAATGTTTCTTTTTCAAGGAATTTTTTTTGTAAACTCTGTGGTTGTGCATGTGCCTTGGACATTTGAGTTTATACACATTTTTTAAGGCTTATACAAACTTTTTGTTACTGGTAACAAAAATGGCAGTGCCCTTTCAGCTACTTCTGCCTGTCTCAACTAGAAACTGCTTCTTACTGTATATGTGGAGTTTTAAAAAGCTTTGACATATGTTAGCTTTTTTAGTAAGCTTTTTCTTCTGCCTGTGAGAAAAGCATATCTCAGGAAACATTCTGTTCACAAACACTTCACTTTACAAACATAGAAGGACAGGGATGCAGCTGCTGGTTTGTTTTCTGGACAAGTTAGTCTAGAGCCAACAGGCACACCCTTTCCCTTGCCAATACCCTTTAGAAAACCAAGTGCATAAATAAGAAATGTGTTCCTGAAAACTTCTGTGCCAGTAAAACTGAACTGGGAGACTTTTCTGATCTGCTGTAGGATGGAGAGGTTGGCGGTGAGGGGAGGAACTCTTGTGGAGTCTTTCTCTTTCTAGTATCTTTCTGCCTTGTGAAACTGGCAGGGGCTGCAGTGCTGAAGCAAGGCCAGCAGCCCACTCTGTTCTCAGGACGCAGTTGTTTAGGATGCATTCTTTTCTAGCTTTGGTTGTCAGTACTTATGAGTAAGGGGAGCCTTTTTAGTACAATACCAATGCACTCAGTGCTATCCATAGTAACAAATACATAAGGGAGAGATTCAGAGTTTGCATTGCACAACTGGGGGAAGTGGGGAGGAACATGACACAACCATTGAGCAGGAAACAGAGTTTGTTGTTGAATACTGGGAGCCTCAGCATCTTTGGCATCAAGCTTGAGCATGGTCCTTTCCCTGAATGAGGCAATAAAATTAATGTCCATATTTGTTAAAGGCAAAGTGATCTGTATGGTCATTCATAACTTGATGTCAAAAAGGAGGAAATCCTTTTTTACATTTTTGAGAGAAGCTGGTAGAGGGGCTGGATGTTCATGTCCCATGGTAATGTTTCCAGTGCTGAGGACCCCAAATCTGGGTGCATACCACTGTAGTCATATTAATCAAAAAAACCCAAAATTATGCACATTCATATTTTCCCCCAGTCATTAGTTGCATCCAAAGCAGCATGGGCAGAGGTGAAGGGAGGTGATTCTGCCCCTCTGCTCCATGCCCGAGACCCCACCTTGGGTGCTGCCTCCAGTACTGAGGTCCCCTGCACAGGAGGGACGTGTTGGAGTGAGTCCAGAGAAGGGACACGGAGATGCCTCCAGTACTGGGGTCCCCTGCACAGGAGGGACGTGTTGGAGTGAGTCCAGAGGAGGGACACAGAGGTGAACACATTGAGAGAGTTGTAGTTGCTCAGCCTGGAGAAAAGAAAGCCCCAGGGAGACCTTATTGTAGCCTTGCAGTCCTTCCAGGGGGCTCATAAGAGAGATGGGGACAGATTTTTTTATCAGGGCCTGTTGCAGTAGGACAAAGCATAATGGTTTTAATTTCAGACTAGATTGCAAGAAGAAATGTTTTGTGATGAAACACTGGAACAGGTTGCCCAGAGAGGCTGTAGATGCCCCATCCTGGCATTCCTGACAACAGCCAAGGCCAGCTTGGACAGGGCTCTGAGTAACTTGATCTTTTTAAAGATGTCCCTGATCGTTGCAGGAAGGTGTGGATTAAATGGCCTTTGGAGGTCCCTTCTTACAGAAACTGTTCTTTGATTGTATAAAACCAAACAACCTTGATTGACTGCACTGGGAGCTTCAGTGGTGTTCATTTAAATGTGAGTGGCTTTTATCTGCTAATTGAATCTTACTCCAGAAAACCCTGATAGTTACAGCTAGTGGTCAACAGGACAATGAACTCCCTGTGCAATTTCCCTGAAAGGGCTAACACCATGCATTCATTAAGGAACAATAGGGTATTTCTGCTGGAGTACTTGTGCAATATTATATTTGACAGCAAGTTAATGGGGGCAGCTAGGGAAAAACTGTAAGAAAGATCAAAACAGTTAATTTTTTCCTTCACAGGTAAAGCTCCACTTAGTACACTGAGGAATAGAATTTGATGATAGACTCTTTGCAGTAGCCAGCAGTGGTATGGTAACTTTTAAGACAATTAATGGAAGTTAAAAACATATAACTAATTAATCTAAATTTAGGTGAAGTTAGTTAACTGTTGAGGCAACTTGTAGTTTATCTTCCAAAGCAAAAAATGCTCACTGAATTCAAATGCAACTATCACACCTGAAGCAGAAATTTAACAGGGAATTCCCTTTTGTTCTGTAAGACTGAAGGAGGTCAGTCTGTATCACCAGTCTCAGCAGGTAGGCTGGCATAGCAGACCCTGTTGCCTGAATGTGGTATTGGGCTTTGAAATGTATTACACAGATTTGGGATATTTGTTGTTCTTTTTAAAGATTGCTTTCCAAAAGAGAACTCCTGCAAAAACAGTCTTTAGGTAAAATAAGCATTAAAGTTAAGATAACACTAAGGTCCTCATTGGTTTTGTTGGGTCTTTGGCTGTGGCACATGTTTGGAAATGGTATGTCAGCTTTAGACTGTTGCACTATCTACTTTGATTTTTAGGAGAACTCCTGCAAAAACAGTCTTTAGGTAAAATAAGCATTAAAGTTAAGATAACACTAAGGTCCTCATTGGTTTTGTTGGGTCTTTGGCTGTGGCACATGTTTGGAAATGGTATGTCAGACTGTTGCATGATCTACTTTGATTTTTAATCATATATGGTTTTTTCCCTATTTTTGCTTAGGGGCTGGGTTGTAGTTAAATAGTGTTGAGAGCCACTCTTGGGATGCTGTGTTTTAGATCTGTGGTGAAAACAGTGCTGCTGGTTGTTTGTAGCTAATGCTGCAGCTATTGCTGAACAGTGTTTGCACTGTCAGGAATTGGCAAAGGCCCACCTCTGGAAGGTTATGAGTGATTGCTTTTGTACTGCTTGTTTGATTTCTTTTTATCTTCTCCCACTTCTTCTTTGCCTGCTAAACAATTTTGTCTTGACCCATGAGTTTTCCTGCCATTCCTGTTTCCCCTCCAGGGCTGGAGTGGAGCAATGAGAGTGGCTCTTGTAGGGCCTAGCTGCCTGCCAGGGTTAACACACAATAATATTTTACATTTATGTATGTGTAAGTGTGTATGGATTTATAAATACATACATATATAAAATATCTTTTAGGTCCTAAAGGGAAATTAAAATCTTCATGCTTTGCTGAGTAAATTAAACTTCCCTGCACACAAATGGGAGATACTCACTTGTCTCCTAACGCATTGATCTAAAACACTTTTGAATAAGATCTTTCTCATTTTCTTATAACACTCTAGATTATTCTTATCTTCATTGGAGTGATTGTACAAGTGAAAATAATTAGACTGACTGGAAAAGAAATGCTTTATTATCCAATTATTCATTTAATTATTCAAGGTGAATAATTGGGAGGGTGTACAAGAGCTTGCTTACTAAAAACTATCAGCTTTTGAGTATTTTCTCTAGTGGATTGTTCAATGCCAAACCGACCAAAATCTTCAGTCAGAAAAATTTGAAGTTGGATACACAAGGTGAAAAATAATTTTTTACATTTAGAAGAGAGTTTTCTAAGTGGTCTCTATATGACAGACAAAAATAGGTCATATTGTTATATGTTACTGCCAAGTGTCATTACAGATCTTTGGGCCTCACAGTTCAAATATTCTATGTACAGCCATGAGTAAAAATACCCTTTTTTCTTTTAATCAGGATGAAAATAATACAGAAAATGCTGTCAGTTCTTCAGATGCTGAGAAACAGGATTCTCCTCCACCAAAGCCTCCAAGGACCCGCAGGTAGTTAACTGTGATCCTCTAATATTTTGGGTTGAAAGATGAATAAAAAGTGGAATTGAGCTACTGATATTATAAAGACTTAAGATGAATATATCAATATATCAATATACATATCACATAATGCAAATAGAAGTCTTATAATTGACTAAATGTAAGCTACAATATTTTTGTGAAGTCTGTGTGTAAATATACCAACCTTGCAATGATTATCTGTGCATAGACATGTTTACTAGTCAGAATTGTTAGATCTACTTGTGTTTTAATTCTGCTAGGTGATAGTAGCAAAACAAACCTCAAATAGCCTCAAATAATGACTGAACCCTCCTTTTTGGAGAGAAAACCATAATGAAACATCCTCATTTATTCTAGAAAAATCTCAGACAAATCCTGTTTTAGACTAGAGTATGGCAACCAAATGCTGTTATTATTGAGAAGAACTGGTCTCACCAATCCTTTCATTCAGCAGAGGAAAATCTTCTCTACCTCTTAAAAATGCTTAGGCTCAGCTTTACAGAAGCTAAAAGTAAATCTGAACTAACAGATTGATCAGACTAAAATGGGTACCCAACCCAAGTGTTAAGACAGCTAAAGAAGCAATTCCCTGAGCGAGGTGTCCAAGGCCCCCAGCTGGTTGTGCAGAGCTTGTAGTGGTCTTTGGCAGGTGATCTTGCCTGTCTTACATTGCCTGTAGTTAAACAGACATAAGGTGAGCACTTGGGTTTCCTAAAGTTGTCAAACCAAGGAACCACCAGCCAGGTGATATTCTTGGGTAACATTTAGGCAAAGTAAAATATAGTTCCTTTAAAATAAAGAAAGAGGTGGAAGTAGGTTAGGGCTTTTTACAAACAAATTCCATGGTTGGTGCTATGTAGGCAATGTATTTTTTACCTTGTTCAGATTGATGGTAATGTCATTGTATTCAATTATGTAGATTAAGATGATGACAGAGGAGTCAGTTACCCTGTGTTCATGATGACTTCCAAGCTCTTGGAACTTCATCACTGAGTTTAGAAATCTGATTTCTGTCCAAGAGATTATTTCCTTCCTAGTGTTCCTTGACATAATCTCAGGTGTACCTTAGTTATTATCATTTTTATATATTAATGTAATATTGACATATGTATAATTCACTTAATTCATGTTTAAGCACACATCTGTCTTATCTGCGCTGCATTGTTGTTTACTTGCTGCATTAAGTTAAAATCTTTTAATCTCTCCTTAAAGCCTGGGGTTTTTTTGGGCCTGTTTCTATAAAATCATACTTTCCCATCTGCCAGCAGTGGCAGGCAGATTGATTTCTTAGAGGTGAATAAATGGAAGCTTTTAACAAAGTTGTTGTCTTTCTAAAATGGAGATTATTCTTTAAAAACAATTAATTAAACTCCTCCTGGAAGATGCTTCTGAGGAAAGACTTTATTTGCTATCAGTCATATCTGTTCAAAATACCCACTAATGAGCATGATTTTTTCTTGATGTGGGGGGTAATTTTACAAATCTACAGCCTGATTCAGTCAGGACATAGAGCCAGGTTTTGTGTATTGTGGATGTTTTGGCATAGATTAACATCCTTTTCCTGGAGAGGATGGGAGAGCAGAATCAGGGAAACATTTTAATTTAATTCCCATATGCACAAGGAAACATTTTTAGGTTGCCAGCCAAATGTGTACTTGAGTTTTAAATGCTCTGTCTTGGAAGAAGTTACAAGCAAATTGCTGAAGCTACTATTTTTGAAAAGAAATAAGGCTTTAAAATTCTTTATAACCTATGTTGTACATGGCTTTATAATGTGTATTTAGTAAATCAAGCTGCATTTTTTAAGGGAAGGTTTAACATTTGCTTTTTCTAAAGCAAGAAGGGTTATGGGAACTGACAGTGCAGAGTACCTTGGGCAAGCTTGGTTTCAGGTGAACTTGCCTGAGGTGATCCTGAATGAGCAGGAAAAAAATTGAGATTTTTTTTTCTTGGCCTCAGGATGCTTGTTTTCCATATTGTTGCTGGACTAAGCCATGTTTGCTTAGACAATAATGTCTGTGATACTTGTTAGTATCATAGACAGCCCCAAGTCTGCTGGATGAGATGGTGACATCTCTGCAGCCCCTTCCACTGGAAAACCACTCGGGTCATGGCACAATTTTTCTGTGAAGGTGGCTTTCCAACTCTCTCTTGTTCTGTTTGTAATGTTCTAATGAAAACATCTCAGGATCATCTTTAGACTTTAGGATCTCTTCTTCTGAAAGTGCAGTTAATACCAGGTAGCTCTTGTCTGTGCTAAGGATGAGATGTCACTAAACACTTTTACCATGCAGGTAGGAAGCTTACTCAGAGAGAGGTATAGTTAATCATTTTAGTACTTGCTTTGGCCTGGGCATGTAGTGATACTTTCTAGGCTGCTTTTTTGTCTTCTTGGAAGTTAGAAGTATCTTTAGGATATCATTATTATGTTGGTATTAAATTGGTACCTTGTTTGCTTAGGTTGCCATGAAGCATCTAGCTGTGCTTGTTTTGCAGAGGTTTGGAACTGTATTGCCTTCCAATCTTTTATCACCATGTAATGCTTTAATGTAATTAAATTTGCTTGTGAGTGTAGTAATTTAGCTTAATGTCTCTCTCCATTTGATGTCAACATAAAAAAAAGTCTAATATTACTCCTTGATTATTACAGAGGTAAACAAGAACAACTCATTAGTGCAAACACCAGCACCTTATCCTAGAAATTGCTTGGCTTGGCAGTTGATCATCACTTCTTGTGGAAGTCACCTCCCTTTAGAGGACTTGAGGGCATGGAAAGTCTTTGTTAGATACGTTTGCATTATTTTCAGGTTAAGGTAGGAAGAGGGCATAAGTAAGGTTTAACTTTGTTAGCTATGAGACTGCACAAAACTTAAGTTTTAAGTTTACAGTTTAAGACTGTACTTGACTTTAGGTGACTGTGTCAGAATTCAGAGGGAGCATCTTAATACTTTTGAGTATCAGTCTGTGAAATATTTGTGTGCTTAGTAGTTGATTCTAAAGTATAGGGGAAAGAAGTGGTTTATTTCAGTCAGGCTTGGTTACAAAAAGTTCTTTTCAAGTTCAAATGCAGTTTGAAATCAAAGCATAAACTTAGACATAAACTCATAAAAAGCAAAGATGATTTAGCAGCTTTTTTGTATGCAGTGTAATGAAGAGCTGTGTGCTGCTGTCTGAAGGTGAAAAGGTGAAATACTGTAGCAGTTTAACTTCTCATCAGATTCTGTTCCAACTTCAGTCTAATGATAGTAAATACATTTCCAGGGTTATGTGTTACTCTGGTTCATTCAAGCCCTGCAAACCATCTCTGTCTCCTGCAAAGCTAAGACAAAACTCATTGATGGGTGTTCCTTCTTAAACTGTCTCTAACTTGTATGCCACAATTGAAAAACTAAAGAGCCTTGGTAGGTAAATTTTAAGAGATAAATTCACCAGCTGGTTATTTTTATTAATTCATTGTACTTTTATATAAATTATTTGTAGTGCTTTTGCAACGTGCTGAAGTAGAATAGTGTGGTTGTCTAGCTTCAGCCTGCTTATGTTGAGTTTAATTTTCCTATTTTAATTACAAGGGAGGATGTAGAGCTTGGTATCTATTTTTGGCTGTTCATATCAGCTGCATTCCATGACCTTGGCATCACTCTCTTTTATTTGAAATACCCTACAGTATGCTGCATAGAATAACCATGGATTACTTAAGGCTTTTTTTCTTTTGAACACTGGCCAAGTTTCATTTAAATCTGAACCCATTGTGTGCAGTTTTAGTAATGTAGCTCTTTTCCATTAGGAGTAGAATGGATTAGATTCTAAAACATTCTAAAAAGTTATGTATTGCAGAGAAAGCAATAAATGCCTTTTTTCATGTATACATTTTTGGTTGAAGCTGTGGGAAGGCTTTTTTTTTTTTAACCAATTCTAGTACTTTTGGCAAATTGTGTGTAATTGTAACTATGACAAATAATTTTAAAAAGGTGTTTTTGCCTAATTCATGGTTTACCTGACACCCGAGAAGCCACTGGCACTAGGGCACTGCATCAGCTGTGTGGCAATAAGAGTGTATGAAAAAGCTGCCTTGATCTCCCAGGGGAATTCCATATCCAGCTGTAAATGAGGAAGTGCCAAGGCAGTGGCACTCTAAGATAATCAGGAGCAGTTGTGTCTCAAGAGGCGCTTGGAGGCTGAGTCATGACAAAGCTTTCTATTTTTTATCACACTGTGAGGTTTTGCAAGCCTGTGTTGATTTAAAGGTGCAATACAGGGAAGCTTTCTTCTCTTACTTGAATGGCCTGGCTTTCTTTGGTTCTCTGACTCTTTTCTGTCTCAATATCCTCTTTGATGAGCTTTGGGTGAGTTTCCTGGTATTTTAAATCAATCTGGTCTTACTTTCTCCTGTTGTTTTCAACAGTATTTGTAGCTCATTTTCAGATAATTTTCTGCCTCTGGGAGCAGAAATGTCTGTGGAGCACAGCTGCTGAAGGACATGCCCAAAGACAGCATTATGCAGCAGCCCAAAATGCCCAAGATTCACAAGATTTTTAGAAAAAACTACTACCAGAGATCTTCTGAATGTGTTAATATCCTAATATTTCTGCTGTATGAAAATGAACAGAAACATTATTTGCAATGCAGAACATGTGAAATAGTGATATTAAAAATATCAGTAAAATAGAAAAATGTTGCCTATTGGGATTTATTTCCTAATTTAAAGATAAAAAATACATTAGACTGCTATTTGGACATCTCAGTTTCTGAGCACAGATATCCTTCAATATTGATAAGGCAAAGAATGATTTTTGACAAATAATTTCTCATTTCTTCACTGTAAGCTCTCATCTAAGAAAGAAGTGACATTTAACTTCAAATGTAATGGGGAACATTGTAGTAGTTCTGTTGAGAAGTGTAGGAGGAAGTTGTTTAATCAACTTTTGGGCTGCTGATTTGTGCAGCATTTCCTGTATCATCAGTTCTATGGATACATCTAAAGGAACTGTTTGAATAAGTGTGAGGCTCTGTTTGCCAGTGGATCAAAGGGTACAGTGATTTTATTGACCAGTAATTGGTGAAGAACTTCATGAATTTTGACTGGCATTGTGGACCTATATCCTTGTTATACCTAGTTTAATGCTAATTTGATGCTTTAGCTAATTGTAATGAGTAATGTTAAGTCTGTGCCAGATAAGGAATTAGTTTTACTGATTGCAAATAACTCTGGGTCAGGAAAATCAGGTCAATAAGGGAAAACCATGATTTTCAGTAGGAGGATTTAGTGGAGATTACTAGTGAGCACCACTGCTGGTAAAAGGGGGCATGTAAACATTTGTGCAAGTGCACTCACTGTCTCCCTCCATGTGTTCCCCTCCCCATATGGAACAGAGGAGAGAAATCCTAGAGGAGGGAATTCTCTTGTCCTTAGTGTGTATTCAATTGGAATGAGACTAACGTCCCCCTATTTCCTGTCTTTACTAATTCAGGCAAACAACTTATTCTCAAGCTTATTTATTTTTCAACAACTGGAGGCAAGAGTTTCCAAGTCACTTCAGTTCAATTGCTTTGATGTACTTTGTATTTCTTCTGTTTTAATGTAAAGAAAAACAGCAATATACAAGTGCAGGGAGGAGAGGAAGAGAAGGAATGTGAGGCCCAACTCTTTGTGAGAGGGGTCAGGCAGAGATTGGAAGGGATCAACCAGGACTGCAAGGGGACCTCGGGTTTCCCAGATACAAAAATACAGGAACTTGTAGAAGATAGTTTGGAAGCTGTTGTAGTACTTCAGGGGGTTAGGATTTTCACAGACTGAGAATCCAAAGGATCTCTTTAGCATGGAATCTCTTGTATAAAGATTTTAGTTCTGCAACCCATTCTGCTATGGCTTGGTGCTAACAAAGTCACAAGGATGAAACACATGCTGTGGCCTGTCCCAAGTCAGGTGTGCTTTTACTTCCCTACAAGACTCCATTATGAAACAGTCTTTGGGCTTTTTTTGTTTTGGGTTTTTTTCCTATATGTCACAATAGTCTCAAGAATTTGCACTTGCTGAGTCCTTCTTAGGCATGGTTTGGAAGCAGGGAAGCCAAAGTAGTACTTTGATTTTGCTCATTACGGGGCATGAGACAAATAATGACAGCCTGTCCTTTCTCTTGTAGACAGAGTTCTTGCACAATCTTGTTCTTCTTGTGCTGGAGGGTCTCATGAGGGCAGAGTGGAATTCCCTCCTTCCATGTGCTGGCCATGCTGCTTTGGATGCAGCCCAGGACATGGTTGGTTTTTGGACTGTGGGTTGGTTTCTGCACACTGCTGGGTCATGTCCAGCTTCTCCTCCACCAGCCCCCCAAGTCCTTCTCCGGGGCTGCTCCCAGTCTGTTCAACCCCCAGTCTGTATGGATGCCAGGGGTTGCCCCAACCCAGGTGCAGCACTTTGCACTTGGCTTTGTGATGATGTTCTCATGGGCCCATCTCTTGAGCTTGGTGGGTCATCCTGGATTTTTAAAGGCATGAAAATTCTAAAAATGCCTTCATCAGTTGTGCTAAGAATTTGTAGTCAACAACTCTGCATCTAATCTGACCCCATATCCTTGAAGAACTTCTCCTTTTAAGTAGCTTGAGATGAACCGCAATTACAAGTGCTGTGGTCTCACTAATATGCACTGTAATTTGAATCATAAAGTCTACTGGAAATATTTATGTTGTATATACCTCATGTCAGCTAAATTTGGTTTGCAACTAAGCCAAGACTATCAAATACACAAACATAAAAATAAAATCCTCTTGAGCATGTTCAGAAAAATAAAATTGAAGTAAGATATTCAATGTTAAGTGGGCTGTAAGGATTTTTTAAAAGAAATCTTTCTTGGCTTTATTGAAATTTGAATTCCATATGTCAAGTTTCTCAGAGCCACTTAAGGAAAAAAGTAGTGAAATGCTGCCACAAGAGGGCCTATCTTGCAATGTCATTGCAAAATGCTTCTGGGAAAGGATGTGAGCAATCTTTGAACTATTAGTGAGGATTAGTTGTGGCCTGAATGAATGTCCTTGTGATATTCTGAAAGACATTTTGAGTGTGTTGACTTAATTCTTGCCTACCCCACTAGTCATATTCTATAACCATTTTCTGTGTGCAATGGAAACTGTGTGGAGTTTGATACTGGTGTTACAGCATTAACTACTGCAGTGGCAGATGGATAGACAGCTAAAATCTTGTCAAAATCCAGAAAATTTAGACAATTGTGTCTTGGTTGTTTTGCAGTTGCCTTGTAGAAGGAGATGCTAAAGAAGAAATCTTGCAGCCTCCAGAGCCTCAGCCAGTACCACCAATCCTAACACCATCTCCCCCATCAGCTTATCCAACAGTCACTACAGTGTGGCAGGACAATGACAGATACCATCCAAAGCCAGTTTTGCACATGGTTTCATCAGAGCATTCAACAGACCTCAACGAGAATTATAATAAATCCACAGAACATTCAGGGAAGAACGAACCCAGCGAACACACGGAGAAGAGGCTGGAGCGCAACTTGAGTTTTGAGATCAAGAAGGTACCTCTGCAGGAGGGACCACGCAGCTTCGATGGGAACTCCCTGTTGAACAGGGGACATGCAATTAAAATTAAGCCTGTGTCATCCTGTGTAACTGAGAAGAGCTTTAAGCCACAGGAACAGATTTCAGGGGATTCATTTGTAGATGCTCCTCAAAACTCATGTATGGAATACAGCGTGCCACAGTCTAACACAGCCTTAATACCTTCACCAGAAAGTCTGCAGGGCCAGCAGGTGTCTGATGCCCCACCCAGGCCGGATCGTCTGCCTCTGACAGAAAAGGGACACGCCACATGGTCACTACAAGGGCCTGACAATGCACAGCGCACGTCCCTGTCTGAAGAGCTGTCTTCAGACACCTTGTGTCACGGTGTTAAAACTCTCTCTCTAGCCTCAAACAGCCCAGCTGAACATCCTTCCAGTGATACTGTTGACCATACTCCTCTTTCTGTTCGAGCACCCCTCTGCTTTACTAATCCTCTCCATGCAGATGATTCTGACACGGATGAGGTGGACTTCGACAGAGCCATGAGCAAAAGCGCGTCCAATGTGTCAACCGCAAGTGCCACAGTCTCTGCTGCCACTAATACTGAAAACATTTCTGCCAGAAAAGTACTGCCAATGTCTATTGCTAGGCAAGACTTAACAGCTGTAACATGTTCTGAAGATGGCAAAGGTAGGTTTCACTGAGGTTCACAAGTGCTGCTCTTTATCTAGCTGCATCTGTAGAGTTGGACAACATAAATTTCTTTGCAATACAATTTTCTAAATGTAAATTTAATCAGTGCAGTATGGCAGCTTCAGAGAGGGCACAGTCTTTTCCTGACAGCTTTCAATTTGCATGTGAGCTGTTTTTGGTATAAAGTGCTATGGACCATGATTAGCTGCTTCAAAAGCTGTACTGTGAGCTTTGTTGTGAGCATTTGTTTAATGTTTTATTTATAATGCGTTCCTGTAGGTTTGTATGTGATTGTAGGTTTCTGTGTTATTATTTGGTGCATATTTTTTCTCTATGCCCAGTTTCATGGAAGTGTTTATAATAATTGGGGGTTGACTAGTCAAAGCATTTTCAACAGGCTTGTGCAAATACATAACAATTTCATGCTTATTGGTTGATGTGCTGTTCCTAAAAATGTAGATGTAACCTCATTCACTGCGTTGCTCTTTGAAGTTGCTCATGATTTGGCTTCTGCATTTTAATAGTGTTGTAAATATTTAGCTGTGCTTTCCTCTTTTTCTGTACATGGCTGGGGGTGACAAGCTAATACAGCTGTTCATCTGAAAATCCAAGTTATGCTTTATTAGCACTTTGAAATTTATTTAGTGGCTTTTTATATTTTACTACTTTGAGGTTTGTTTTTTTTTGCAAAAGTTTGCAAGTTAGAACATCACTTATTGAAGGCAAAAGGGTCCCATAACATGCAAGTGCACATTTCAGTCAGGCTGGCACACTTAGAGCAGATGGAGGATAGAGCAGGGAAGAAGAGATTAGGCCTTGGCAACTGCTTGTGCAAAGCCCAACAAAACAAGAAGTGAGGCTGTGGAGCTGAAGGAAGAACATGAACTTCTGGATCCAGCTCAGACTCCTGTGCTTGGAGTTGCTTACAGTGATGGCCTCACCTCAGGAGTCTGTGCAGACTTCATGACCTTCTGAAGTGAAATGGGGCTCAGTGTATGATGCAAGATGCAGAACCAGCTGAATTGCAAGTACTGGCTTTGTGAACTGAATGTTCACCAAAAGTCATATATCCAGAGATGTGGACTGTTTTGCAGCCGTAAAAACAATCTGTTTCTGTAGATCTTGATGTAGAGCTATAGATATTGATATGTACCCATAGATCTATAGATTTTGGTTTAGATTGTGTAAACACAGGACAATACTTGCACATACCTGTATATTTTTAACACTGTGACTTAAAAGATGCGCTGCAGAGCTGACAAAGCCCTTTTGTCATAGTTATTTCAATTTTGCAAGCAGTTCTTGGATTTGTTTTATAGATTTGCAGGCTATTGTATTTTTCCTTTTAGGCAGAATTTTTTCTGCTTTCCCAGAGCAATCATTGTTTGTCACTGTTTGGAAATTATCACCTCTCTGTGCATCTCACTATGTAGATGCTGTAAGAACATGCAAATAAAATAAGTGATATGTCATAAATATGATAAAGAATTGGAGAAATGTCACTCTAGAATTTGTTTCATGTAACTGTGTATCAGAAACGTCTTGAAATAACAGTACAGCCCTTTGCTGCTGGTATGTTGATGATTTCACAGGAATTTATTAAAATTCTAACAGTAATTTTTCTTATCATTTATCTCATGTTAATAAGGGTGTATCTGTTCCCTGTTTGATCATGAACACTTCCCATTTTACATTCTGGTTGTAGGTCTTGTAATCCCTCTGGGACTCAAGAATGTAGGGTTAGATTGCTTTGCACCAGTGATCCTAAACCCTGTTTACAGTGGCTTTCTCATTTTCATACTGGCTCAGGACTCTTCTGTCTGCAGCTGGGAATGTGGCTGCAATCACCAGTGAAACTTGTCTGTGAACTTAGCAGCACCCTAATTGCCTAACCATAACTGCTGCTGTGCATGATCTTACCACACACTTAAATCCTCCTTTTCATTCAAATGAAGTGAAAAGTAGTTGTACCCTGAGGTAAAAGGAAAAAAACAAAGAGAACAATAAACCAGAAACAACACCTAAACAAAACCCTAAAAACTCACTTTCAGTTAGTGCAGATCCATGGTGACTTTATTTGATGGTTTTATAGAGGCTCTTTCTGATAATGAAGGTTTTCTTGTGCTGTATGTAAACTTGAGATGGAGCAGGTCTCAGAAGTCACTTGGAAGATGATGGCTTGTAGAACTTGATGGAATTCTGTCCCTGCAGCAGCTGGGGATGCTGGCAGCTCAAGCTTCACGTCTTTATTAGTTGAAATGTTGTATTTTTGAATCCTGCGCAGAGTACAGTTGTCAGATGAGATTTCTTATGGCAGCAGCTACTTTAAATTGCTTTAAACCTTTAATTACTACTCCAAATTTCTTAGTGGGTCAGAGCAGGGCTTTTGCTGCCAGAATAGCTCGTGTTAGTGCACTCCTGGGAGGTGAGAGGGGACAGGCTGGGGACAGGATGTGGTACTGGCACCAACAGTAGCCGTCTCCTCTGGCTCCTGTTTGCCCTTTGGCCCAGTAAACCTTGCACCAGGCTGTTTAACCATGTCAGTGGTATGGGAGCCAGTGGGTTCAACATGGATTTGGTAAGCAAAACTGAGACTTGAAAGAATGAACAAAAAGTATTCATTTGAATTACTTAGGGGTTTTTTCCTTTGAATTATTTAGACTGAAAATGTTTTTGTTTTCTTGCTTGCATAACACACAAACTGATCCTATGCCCTTAATGTGAAGTTATTGTTGTTAGATGAAGTTGCTCCACAGTGTTAGTGTGGTAAACCAAAATGTTTTATAATACTTACAGCAAATTTTTCGTTTGCTTTAGATACTATACCAAGTTTAGGATTATAACATATATGAAAAAATCAACTTCTAAAAGTCTAGGAGAAAAATCTATGTATTTTAACTTATCTAAATGTCATATTTGATTTAGATGCTGATGCTAGTGAAGATTCCTCTCCCCCGCTCCCAGAAAGAACACCAGAATCGTTTGTATTAGCAAGTGAACAGAGTGAGTTTTTGATGTTTGGTGGCAATTGGAGATAAAATGTGAAGAGCTTGTCAGTATTGTATTTGAGTACCCCTGATTTTTGGTTAGTCTGTTGGAACAATTGTAAAATTGAATGAAATCTAGCATGTGCAGTGGCTTATTTTGGGATTTAACTTTTCCACACCCTTGAACACAGAGAAATTATTTTTCATTTTCTGACTAAATATGGTGTTATATGATATTTAAGTAATTGGGGGCTTCAATAGTAGTAGAGCTGGTTTTCAGTCTGAAGGGTATGGAAATGAGATGATACAGTGGGGAAATGCAGTATGGTTAGGGAATTTCCCAGCTATTTTAGTTTGCTACTGCTCCCAGGTAGGGAGTGAGTATGCACATGAACAGTGTTTATCTGATCCCCTTTCTTGGGCAAAGGAAAGATGATGACACTTCATTCTGCACTGCATGGAGTGAACAAGCCCAGTTAGTCAAGTTTAATCTAGTTCACTCTTTGTGTCAAAAGGGTAACTGCAAGAGAAAGCTGACACTTATGATGTGCTCCTATTGGCATAGTTCATTCATCAAGCTAGTAATGGCAGAACACAAAACAGATGAATTGAAATGAAGTGATAAATTAGGTTTATGCTTGGTACCTTCCAAAAAACCTAAAATGATATAATTATTTACTGAGACTTTGTTTAGTGCCATTTTGAAATTAAAAAAAAGTTGGGCCTAAATCTAAATATTTTCATCAGGAAAACACTGAAGTTTTGTAAATGTGTTCTTTGAGCACATAAGCATAGGTAGTTCAGAGTCAAAGTGATCCTTTCTTTGGATATCATGGACCTGTTGCTTTTCTGTGACCGCACAAGGAACAAAGCTGTTTTCTTTTAAAATCTCTCTCCAGGACTGGAATCACTTAAAACCACTTCTATTTTGTCTTTTTTGCACAATGTCAATAAGGACAGGTGTGGCTGTCCTGACTTGTATGTTTACTTAGGAGATCTGAAAAATACATACTATCACTGCCCAGCTGATGTAACAGAAGTTCTAAATTGTCCTTGAAAAGGAAGCCAATTCCCCTGGTTGATTAGGAACCCCCAAAGGAACAAAATGAACATCCATAATGCAAGCACTGTACTCTTGTGCTTTGAGTTAGATTGTGGCATTTTGCCTTTTTTGGAGCACTTTTCATGTAAAGAGATTTTTCTGGTTTTACAGGCATTTAATCTAAAAAAAAAAAGTTTAGAGCACATTTCTAATGCTGTGTACTAATGCCTCATCATGAGGAGATGTGAAGTGTGTTGAGCTGATGTAATTCTTCCTAGGCACGCCCTTGCTGAAGCCAGCTGTGGCTGCGCAGTCGGAGTGGAGCGTGCTGCGTGACCAGCACCTGCCTGAGCACACAGCCTCCCCAGTAAGTGCAGCAGACAAGTCTGTACTCATCACTCATTCCTGGTCTGGTTGGGACCTACAACAAAAAGTAAAATCCATACTTGTGAGAAGTTGCAGCTGTTGGTCATCAACAACTGGCCGGGTTTTCCTCTGCCTGAGCTGCTGAATTGACATGAAGAGTATGTTTTCTTTCCAAGAAAATGATCTGTTTTTCTAAGGTCAGCAATGTTTTTAAAAGGAGTACTCCAAAATATATGTTAAACTATGGCCTTAAGAGTGTAAATATGCTGCTTTTAGGGAGCTTGCTGTCTGCCCTTAAATAGATCTTAGCCCAATTCAGACTGGAAGAGAACAGCAGTCTCTCATCTAAACTTCTGCAGGGCCTCACTCCAGACTAACGAGGGATTTTTCCAGCTAGGTCTTGAGAACCTCCAGGGATGGACACTTTTTATGGGCAACCTGTTTTGCTGCCTGAAAATGGTTTTCCCTTACATCCATATTTATTTTAAACAAACCATTTTGCCCATCAGATTTCACTTTTCTCTCATCCAGCTCACAGTCATCCTGCATGAACAACTGACAAAACTTTAAAAGCATATAAGTCCTTTTTACATTTGTCCCTTTTTTTCATGTGCTCCCAGTATCTCACTTAAAAATATGACAAAAAAGATAGATGTGAATTTTCAGGGACTGTAAATATAGTGTGAAAACAAACCTACCTAAATAAGTTGCAGTGTCATGTTTTCAAATTTTTATTAAATGCTAAGGTTTTAATAGTAAATTCTTATACTAACTACTGTAGCATTTTTTCAGTGTTGAGTCAAGTCAAAAATGTCGAGGTAAATTACCATTTCCATGAAAGTTACATGATTTTGGTGATGTTTTCATAATCTTAAATTTCTGTGTTTCTTTTAACTTTCTGGAAGTGGTCTGTGTAATTATTTTATATATTTCTCATTAACAGGGTTTGAAAACAACTTCACCTATACTACCTGGTAAGTGGTGGAAGCTTTTCTAATTTTTTTTTTTCAAAATACATTTTTCCTACTGAACAAAAATTTGCCTGAACTTGGTGTTTGCTCTGAAGGTATCTAAGTATACTTGTAAATACATTTTTCCTACTGAACTTGGTGTTTGCTCTGAAGGTATCTAAGTATATTGTCAAGTATACTAGCATTATACTAAATATATTGTTATCTATGATGTCTAAGCACCTTTAGTTTAGGAATATGTTGCTGTTACTGAACATGTACTTCACTTGTATTATACTAAATATATTGTTATCTATGATGTCTAAGCACCTTTAGTTTAGAAAGAACATGAACTGAAGACTTTATGTTGCTGTATTAAATGGCACTGTGAGCTTTTGCTATAAATAGATGCTATGTGGGATTTCAGCTATCCATACAAACTAATACAAAATAATCCAGATATGGAAAGCAGGAATACGTTGCTGTCACTGAATATTTACTTCGTAAACAATTTTCAAGTTTCACTTTTAGGAAATGAGAAATTGTCTTTCAAAGCTTTATTTTTGTAAATGATATTTGCTGCCAGTTGTTTTCTGGGCTGTCATGACAAGTGGCGTTGCCACAGTGGTGACTAAGTGGATGTTACAGTGAGGGGTCTGTGTGTTTTCTAGATCGTCCTGAACGAAGCAACAAAACACCAACTGACACTTTACCTCAGATTGCTTTCTCTGGTTCCACTGACACAAGAGGTCAAATTTCAGAATTTCCTGCAGAAGTAACAGATATTGGTAATTACAATTCTTTTGAAATATAATCACTAGATGACTTCAACAGGGGATTCACTGTCAGTACTGGTTTGGATAGCTGCTACTGCTGCCACTCTCCAACTCACTGAGATGCAGAACCCAGACAAATAAGCTGCCTGGTCTCTTCAGCAGTGCTGAAGAAGTTTTCCCCAGAATAAATGATTAAATAATTCTTCACTTTGAAAAAAAGCTGAATTGTATAAAATATAGAATTTGTCAAATGGGTCATAATTTTTGTAAAGTTTTGTGCATTTTTGAAAATTTCCAAAAATAATACCTGATAACAGCCTAGGTATGCTGAGAAGGAGGAAAAAAAATATAATAAAGGCTGTAATACTGTATTTAATGAAAAGTACTTTCCAGTGAGGTTTAAGTACTGAACTATAATGTAATACAAATAGGCCAGAGTGCCTTCAGAATTCCTTGTATTACAAAGTTGTTTTCTAGCCCTGAGAGTAAATGTATTCTGTAAGAGCTGAAGCCATGTCTTAGTGATCTTCTGACTGCTGCCAGCCTTTGTGAGCCTGTGCTGTCCCAGCAGACAGAAGTATCAAATACATTTCTTTCCTCAGGTTTTGGTAACCGCTGTGCAAAGCCCAGGGGACCAAGAGAGCCACCCTCAGAATGGACATGATCCAAGAACCAATGGACATACTATCAATAAATTATACTGGAAAACTCAAGTGCCACTGAACTAGAGAAATAGTGTTCCACTTTCCTGGGGGGCGACTAACACAGAGCAGTGTAGATCTAACTATCAATGGTACATCCTTGCAGTGCATCCCACGCAAAGCCTGACACATGGTTCACAACAGTGGATTCCAGTATTACAACCTTTTGCTGGGGCCATCTACCTGCCTTACTACACTTAGGAGAAAGTATTACATATGATTTATTTTGTAACTTCAAGTATTATTGCCTTAATGTCTTTTAACCCTGTTACACGCTGCTTGTAGACATATGTTAATATAGTAATACTTTTGACAGATTGTGTTTATGGACTACTTTTTGCTAACATTTGATTACCATGTATGCATTATTTTGTATATGTACAGGGCAAGTAAGTATATAATTTGATAAAGTTACAATCATAAAATATTAACAGAAGATGTAAGAAATCTCTGCATGATCTAAATTTTTGTGTACCTTATTTGTAAGTTATTTGCCCTGAAGTTTTAGAAAATAGTTTCTGGGGTTTTTTACAAAAATTGCTGGACACACACAGCCAGAATTGCAGGTTAGCAGAGATAAAGATTGTAATGCATTTTGTAAATTGTAAGCAAAAGGTTATTTTTATATTATATACTGTTTAATTGTCAGACCTGATTTGTTCTGGTTTTCATCTGGTCATGGAGATTCAGTAAGTGCCTTGGAACAGTATTGAATTCTCTTAGCCTGTGTATGTTTCTTCAGTGTTTTGAGTTCATCTGGAATTAGATTATCAAAAGATTTGTATGTTTCTTAGTATATTTGACCTGCCAGTAAAAGAGAAACCATTTTACATAATCAACACTCCTTAGTTTTCATTTTAATGTTTCATCAGTTGCAATCTTTAGAAAGTTCATCTCTATCACCTTTCTGTGTAGTAGGATTTTACAGTTTTAATACGGCGTGTTTCTAATTTGGGAAAACCAGAACACACTGCTGAAAGGACTGTTCAATACCACTGTCTTCTCTTGCAGATGGGGAATACAATTTATGTTGTTCAGCGACTGTGTATGTAAGAAAGCAACTTATATGAAGGTTCACCTGGAGCCCTTGCAGCTACACTGTATCTTGGCAATATATTGTGTCAAGAGTTAATCCTTATAAGGATTCCTTACTTAAACTTTTCTGTAATACAATCTTTAAATTAAAGAAAGTAAAAATCTCACTCTGGGTGTTTTTACTCTTAGTAAAGAAAACTGTGTCCAAAAGCCAAGTGTAACACAGTGAAGGATGACAGTCTGGCTTAGCTTACAGATCTCATACTTGAACAGAACACTGACACTCAGAACCTTATTTTTAGTAACTACTTTAGAAGTTCTGGCTGGCAAGAATGCCAGAGAAGCAAAGAAGAATGTTGAGAAGAAAATGTTCATTTTAGGTAGTGAAAGTATATTAATCTGAACTTAAGCTGGGAACTTTGTCTGATCTGCTACTTGTACCTTTAGTGTCTCTGCTAAAAGAGAGCTGATGCCCCGATAGCAGCTCTGTTGTAACCTCCTGAAGGGATGTAACTTGCAATTACTGCAATTACTGCCTCTGACTCTGGGTTTAATCACCATGTGCTTCGTACATGTGACAGACTGCCAAGCTGGGGAGCTCTTTCAAAGAACTGTGTGCACTATAAATACTTCCCATGGATGTAGTTCTGTAGTTATTCATTTAAAAATAAATAATTCAATGATATGTGCCATCTGGGATAATCTATATCAACTGTGTTTCTGACTTGTAAACAGTTCAGACAGCTGGAATGTTCTGCAGTTGGCAAAATAAGGCTGGCCTGAACTTTGTCTTCCTTCCCTCGTGGTGCAGATGATTAGCTCAGACTTTCACTCTTACAGAGCTCCTGTGGATTTGGATGGGCTGTCAGCACCCCTGGGCAGTCCAAATCAGTGGAACATTTGGGAAAAAAGTTAAATAATAAAATTTCCAAATATGTTTTGGATGTACTTTTCAAGGATCCCTTCCATATTTGTCCATCAATAAAACAAATCTGTGCAGGTAGTAGATTTTCTGGTTTTCACAGATGAAATTCACTTAACAGCAAAGGCTGTCCCAGATCTGTGCACTACATACAGGTCATCTTGTTATGTTTAATTAAAGTACATCCAGGTTCATCTTTTTTTCCCCCACTTTGTTTTGCACAGATTTGGATCATATTCCAGGCTGAGTTTGTCACAGAAAAAAAAAACCACCGCAAAAAACTCAAAGAAAGGTTGCAGCCTTTCTTTGCTTTAGTGATAAAAAATTGCAATTGTTTGCTATGGATTTCTGTTTATTTTGACAGAGCTGATTCACAACTTGCTGTTCTCTGCTTTGGGTTTTATATTTTCACCTATTTCAGGTAAGCTGGCAGTTTTAAGAGCAAGGTGAAACCTGCCCAATGTCATTACTTTGTGTAGCCACTCTTGGGGGTGGTGCAGAGATAACTGCAGCTCTGGATGCTTTATGCTTGGGAATTTCACTTTGAATTATTATTGTCTTAACAGCTTCATCAGAAAAACCCTAGATCTTCCCTTGTGGTTTATTTGAAATGGAGTCTAAAAGGGTTTAAGCATTACATTGGCTTGCAAATTATCACTAAAGCCATTTTGTACATATATTGAAATCAAGCCTGTATAGTTCCAGTCTTACACATTAGTTTTTCTGAAAGCAGTCTGCAACTTTCATCTCTGAAGTGCAGCTTTTCAGGCATGGACTTGATCACTGCAGCAAAGAAGCAGTAATGCTACTCAACCTAGCTATTTTTATTAATAACTGCTGCATTGGCTTCTTTGTCCTTCAGTATTTTTCTAATATACCATTTATTATTTTTTTCTAAAGGTATTAATATTGAATTAAATAATGCAGTGAATTATCACATCAAAAGAATGAGTTCTCTGTGTTTTAGAAATGTGAATTCTCAAGGCTCAGAAGAAAGCAGACCTCTACTAATACCATTGCTTATCTCTATTACTCAGCATATTTAAGGTTGTGCATTGATTTGACAATTTTGGTATTTGACAATTTTGACTATTTTGGTAGTAACTGGAGCATTACACCAGCGTTTTTATTTCTTATCTGCTAGGAAAACCTGCTGCGTTTACACAGCATTTTCCTTAAAGAAGTTTCTAACTTGGGAAGTGGGCAGAACAATTAAAATCTCGAAGAATTATTTTTGGGTTTTTGTATATTGGAATCTTGGATTGGGTTTCTTTGGAGATAAATTTCTATCAGAATGAGTGAGATCGAGTGCAATGCAGAGACTGGGCAGTGTGATAACCCTTTGCTGCTGGAGCAGTTGCTTGTAGCTGCAGGTCAGACTGTTGGGAAGCACCCAAACACAAAGCTCTTGCCTGCAGCATAACCCCGACATGCTGCAGACAGAGAAAGGGAACCTAGCAAGAGAGGGCTGGACTGGGGAAAGACTAGCAATGAATATTACCTTCAAAAGGGGATTTTGAGGAGGAACAAGGAGTTAAGGACTTCAGACAATGGAACTGAACAACCAGATACAACTGCACACAACTAAGGCTTTGAGAATTTTCTCAAGGCTTAAGGGAGGAGTAACATCTCTGCAGTATAAACAAACAAGTCACAATTCCTACAGCCCACTGCCAAAGAAGGGCCTTTCTCACAATCTCAAAATGCTCTTCAGCTCTTGAGAAGCTGGAGAAGCTTCTAAGGGAGGTTGTCCTGTGTGGTCTGAAGAGCAAGGCTAAATGCATGGAGCACATGAACCTAGGACTGAGCATAGCAGGGGCCAGCCAGCACAACACACTGACTGCTCTGGAGCCCTGGGAGTATCTAAAGCCTTTAAAACAGCAAGGCTGTGAAGTGGTGAGTAACAGGCTTAGTGACATCCAGTAATAGCCAGGCTCTCTGATGGGACTTTTCCTAACCATGCATGTACTTAATCCAAACAGGTTTGTCAAGTGTTGGCTCAAACAGAACAAGGAAATAACTGTTTTCTTGGCTGCAGTGCTGTTGTATCCTCAAGATTTGTACCAAATGCTTCACTTCATCACTTCTAAGACCACATGGCAAGAGTTTAGTATTTGCAGCCTTAGAGCAGCGAGTAAATAAAATGTTGTTTGCTCATCTATTGAGTGTAGTTGCTGTAACAGTTGATTTCTTTAACAACTTGACTCTTGCTTATGAAATTGTATTTTGTCTGCATCAAGCACTGTGGTGAAGCCAAGGTAAGAAATCAGTTTTGCATTTTGGCTTAAATCCTGCAAAGTTACATACCCTGTGCATGTAAACAGCCGTGGTGAGCTCAATGCAGGTATTCATCCTTGGGCGTTGTGTGCTCGTGTTTGCAGTGCTGGGGCACTCGTAAGGACAGGGGTTAGCTCTGCTTCAGGCACTGAAGCTCCACAGATTTCAGCTGGTGAGGTGGAAGTTGTCTTTCACATCTATAATTCCTACTTTCATCCACAGAGTTACAGTCCCTAATATAAAAGATCACAGGCAGGTAAAAAAAAAGATCTTTTGGGTAGGTAGTGCCACAATCTCACAGAGAGCTTGACTGTCAAGTCAAAAGAAGAGCCGGATTTGGATCAAAGATGATCCCATTTTTCAAACATAGAGCATCAGACTGCTGAGCTTTTCTGCTTGCTCAACTCTACTCTTTACCAGAAGACACCTGGTGTGTGGTTCCATCCCAGTATATATTCCACCTGCTACATCTCTGGCCTAATGTTAAATGGACCAAGAAACCCCATCATAATCAGAGTGTTTTCAAGTCTTCTGCTACATTTGTTCAAATTTTTATTTGCTTTCTTGCTGTTTTCACATTAAATGGTAAATTCATTGTTCAAGTGAGCCTGGAGAAGCGGGCAGGAAGAAGATACAAACCCTGTGAGGAAACATGCCAGCTCTGGTGTCCATTGGTTGTAGCTGTTCTTTCATTTGCTGCATCTCCAAAATGAATATGCTTTATGGTGAATACTTAACTTTGTAATGTCAATTACACATTTTATCAGCCCTGCCCAGTGCACATCTCATCTTAGGGTTTCAGTCTTGCCTGAACTGAACACTATTTTGCTGTAAGTGAAGGAAGGTTGGGCCTGGTACATTCTAATTCCACATGTTACTATGGTATCTGGACACAACTGAACCCAGCAGTGAAAGGCCAGCAATTTTGTTAAAAAATAGTAATGTATCTTCTGATCTGTTTCATTAGAGACAATCAAAAGCTAAAATAGCCATCCCTGTGAACTCCAGTAGGACATCTAGGGCTACCTTTCCCATTGATGGGAGTGGCCCAGACCATCAGGCTTTTCTGAAAAAGCACTTGTACACTGGATTTTATAAAAGTTACTTTAAAAATTACTCATAACTCAGGTCATGAGATTCATGGAGAGTAACGTGTGAGGACTTCAGAAGTGAAGCAAGTTGTCTGGATAAAGTGATCCAAAGAATGGTCTCTGCTTGGTGTGTGGTAAAAAGTGAATCTGGCAGAGTTGGGAAAAACAAGGAGCACACAATGCCAGAGGAGAGGAGGAGGGAAGAGCTGAATTGTAGCAAGCACAAGGGGGAAACTGTCTTTGCTTGTGGGTAATAAAAGGCTGATGTGAACTTGTTAAGCAGGTTCCTGGTTTTGTAAGCTCCTCAGAAGGGCAGAGGTGTGGTTGGGTAACAGGAATGCAGCACCAGGAAGACACTTCTTTAAAGAAATTGTTGTGTTTGAGTTTCTACTCAAATCTGCAATTGAGTATGAGCCTCTTGCATTTTGACTGATCAGGCCCAGACAAAGATTTGTCTCCCACTCCAAGGTGGGAAAAAAGGAGGATAATAACCTAATAACGATAAAGTGACCCTTGAAATGAGTGGGTGGGAGAGGTGGAGATATGAAGAATGTTTAATTCAGAAAGCAATCTCTTGTCAGGGATTTTGAGACCTCAAAGTGATACCTGAATTTCATTATACCATTGCCATGCAATGAATACATCTTTGTCTGCCTGTTGACATGTAAATCGCTGGTAAGAAGGAAGCAATGCAAGTAATTATTTTTATAATACAAATCAACTTTTATTATACACTAGGACTAGTGAGACACCTGACAGCTCTGAAAAGTGTTGCTGAGCAGCTCTTTCCCCTTCTGTGTCATCAGACAGCAAATTCATACCAGTTCACTGATGCTGGAAAGAACACTCAACTGTATTTTTTCCCTTAAATCTACCC